GTCGCCGTCGCGCAGAGCAGCGTCAAGGGGCTTGAGAATGACCGTGGCCGATCCCTCGCCGCGGCCGTAGCCGTTGGCGCGGCTGTCAAACGCCCAGGACCGGCCGTCCTTGGAGATGAGCGTCATGGAGGACATGGCGAGGAACATGTCGGGGTTGAACATGATGTTGGCGCCGCCCACAATGGACATGGTGGATTCGCCCGAGCGCAAGCTCTGGCAGGCCTGGTGAAGCGCTGTGAGGGTGGTGGAGCAGCCCGTGTCGACGGACATGCTGGGCCCGCGGAGGTCGAAGAAGTGCGAGAGACGGTTGGAGGCCATGGCGGCGCCGGTGCCCATGAGGAGGAAGCGGGGGAGTGTGTCGGGGTCCCGGATCAAGCTCTCGTGGTAGTCCCGGAAGAAGGAGCCGGCGTAGACCGAGGTGTTGGAGCCAGCCACATCCTGAAGAGTGATACCAGCTGTTTGGCGTCAGTTTCTGCGTTCATCTGGCTTGGAAATGAAAAAAAAAAAAAAAAACCTACCGCTCTCAAGGGCCTCGTATGTTGACTCGAGCTGCAGACGGAACTGGGGGTCCAAAGCAGCCGCGGTCTCGGCAGAAAGGTTGAAGAAGTGCGCATCAAATAGGCCAACATCCTCCTTCATAAAGTGGCCGCCTATTACGTTTGTCTATGGGGGCATGTTAGCTTGTCACTTTTTTTTCCCTTCATCAGGTAAACACAAGACATACACCATTAAGCTTCTCAAAGTTGGGGTGGTGGAATCCATCGATATTGAACCGATCCTTGGGAATCTCCGACCACGCACTCTTTCCCTGAGCCAAAAGATCCCAGAGCTTGGACGGACTGTCGACATCGCCAGCGAATCGGCAGCTCATGCCAATAATGGCAATAGGCATGTTGGAATCCATTATGATATGTGTGTGCGGGGGGGGTATATAGTAATTAAGAGGGGGTCGTAAGAGTCGTATGGTTCGTTAAAACGATGATGATATGTCGTTTTCGTCAACGTCGTTAGTCTTTAAAAAAAAAAACGACAAAGTATAAAATATGCCTACCACTAATGGGATGCTGATGAAAGGCACAAGGGTGGGGGAGGGAAAAGGGTATCTTGGATAGACGTATGTGATGGCAAAACTACGTGTCTCTCCCTGGGGAAGCGGGATGAGACAAGAGTTAAGTATTAGAGGTAGGTATGGTGTGTGTGTGTGTGTGTGTTTGTAAAATGTGTCTGTGGATGTCTCGGCCCCGGCTTGGTGAATCCGATCTCCTTCAAGGAAGCAACTCGCCGCCCCCTTGGTGATGCTTAACGATGCAACAGTGTATACCAAGCTGAACAAGGTCAAGATCATTAGAGAACCCATGGTTGACACCGTCATGGACTGTGTAGTCTGCCTCTAAGGCAGGTCCCCCAGCTTGCATGGTGCTGTCCACGACTTGCTATCCCGTGATCTGCTTGGCTTGGATGGGAATCCGATCGAGGCCGAGTGGGGGGATGAGGTTCTTTAGGGTGGCGTGGTGTGGACCGCCTACGATACTCGGCCGATTAGTCAAGGTACAAGATCATGGGGGACCCCAACTCCGGGGACCTTGAATCCAGGGCATCCAGGACGGTGCAGAAAGTCCACTCACCATAGCTCACGGTATCTGTACTTGGTATACGTGTACTACGCGCTCGGGATCTACACGTGTTCCTCGAGTTCGACAAGAGCGAAGTCTTGGCCGCATTTTTCTGTGGGGAGGTTGCGTGCAAATGTTTTACAGGGCGGATATAGTGTAGTGTATATGTGTGCGTGTTGCTTGCGTGAGACCTGCTTGCGTTCTATCTATCAATAGGTAGGTAGGTCTCCCTTGGTGCTTTGGTGTTGTGCATCATGATTCCCATCCCGTCACGAACCCGTCTCCAAGACCTTGTCTCGCCGTCAACTCGTGCGCATGCCGGATCGACGAACACGTCTGGTAGACAAGACAAGACGCCGTGGCATTTAGTTTGACAGTTTGGGATGCGGCGCCTAGTCGGATAATATTTTCTGGGCATTGTGCTAGTGTACTGACTTGTTATGTTTTCGGTAGCCTCAAGACATCGTTGGCGTTGTCATTGGGACGGTCTGGGGAACCTTGTTTTACAGGGCGGTGAACGGGGTGGGACAGAGCTCAGACCCTGGAAACAGTATAAGAAGAGGCCGGGCTGTCTTTGCCTTGGCAACAGCACAACGACTAACGAGTCGGTGTCGATATCACGTTCCCCATGTGGTCTCCATGTCTTGCGGTGGCAGGCGAGTGATGAGGGCTGACAAGAGGAGAAATGCCCTGTCTTTCAACTCCAACTCCAACTCCAGACCCCGACAGTCCGCGTGAAAGCGGCTCTTTTGCTGGGCAGCTGAGTCGTTCGTTGTACAAACAAGATACTCGACGTTGCATCCCGAATGCTTGGTCCGAATGCTCGGGTTCCGTACACCGTAACATTCACATGACATCCATGTCCATTTTTTGTGCGGAGCTTATAGCAATAGACGGTACAAACAAGACTTTTTACTCGCCAGAAAACAGGGGGTTTATACTGTATCGGCGGTACTCCTATCTTGAGATCCGAACTGGCCAACGATCGAGGTCGCCGACGACATGGTCCCAATTGATCACATAGAACTGACCGATCCAAGCCGACCTTGACCTTGACCATGCTGTCCCTATCATTACGTACCTCAATTTTCGACAAGGTACGCCCGGGCAGGGTCCAGCACTCCAGATACCGAATTGAAGGCTGGGGAATATGCACTTTAGTGATTCCAGTACTCCGATAGACGGGAATAAACGTTCAAAGACAGAAAAAAAAAAGGGGGTAATGAAGAAACGGGAAAAGAGAAAAGAACAGAGACTGGAAAACGGCTAAACCGGCTGAGGGGGCCGGCGCCGAAAGGACGGGGCGCTGGAAGGAGCGGGCTTTTTCGGCGGCCGAGGCAAGAAAGCGGGAGTGGGGCCCTCTGCCGTGGGATGGACGGGACCAGTATCAATAAGTGGGGTCTTGACTCCCGTCCGACTCAAAGAAACTCCGGCGGTCGGTGAAGGTGCACAGAAGAGCTGGAAAAAGTGTGGAAGAAGAAGTGAAGCTTGAGGCCCGCCGCCGGTGAGGCCGGGACCATGCATCCATGGCAAGCGTGCAAACAAACAAAGCAAGAGATCCCAACCACCTCCTCATCAATTGACCAATCACATATTATCTTTTGTGGGCAGCAGGCGCAAGAAGGAGTTTGTGACTGTCGAGTTGGACTCGGGTGAGCTGTTGTTTTATATAAAGACGACGACACGAGAGACAGTCGAGGTACCTCTACCAGAACCACCAAGCTCTCACCTTGTTCAACACAAGTTCAAGTCTCCTTCCCACACTCACTGCACAGCATGTTCAACGACCACACCTTGGAGTCGCACGGATGCACGGTTCCAACTGAGGGATCTGCAAACCCCAAGATTGGCACTCCACTTGCCCAGCCAGCCCAAGTCCTAAAAGGAAAAGGCGTAGCATGGTCAAGGCAGGACCGTGAGGACCAATGAAACCTCGGTGGAGTGAGCTTATGCAGATCCCGCGGATCAAGCTAAAGTGCGGGTACCTGTGAGTGGAGCATTTTCAAGTGCCAAAGTCCATTCTCCGATGCGGGGGGCAGGCAAAAGGGACGAACCGGCCGAGAATGGATGGAAAAGGGGCGCAGACTGCAGTCAGTGGTCAACTGCAGTGGTCAACTTTATCGAGTTCCCGTTCGTTGTCTCCTTCAGCTCCTTCCTTCCCGGCTCCCATCAACCAGGCATCTCCTCGTTCAGTTCAGCTGGAGGCGCCTTCTCTCTCGAAGCATGATGCCTGTATCCGTCTCAATTTGCCTAGTCCGCGCTGGCAGGAAGTCGGACCCGAGAGCAACTTCCCAGCACATTGATGGTGGAGGTCCCCTCTCTCGTCCTTTCCAGTGATGGATAAGAAATTCCCCGAGAAACAACAAGAGAGAAAAAAAAAAGGACAATCGCAGGGGAAAAAAAAACAAGACAGGAACAAAAAGCGAAGAACAAGCGACCTCGCCAAACTTCAGCTTCAAACATCGGCTACCGCTCCCCCCTTTATATACACTGGCTCCTACTTAAGGGGTCTCGGGTAAGCCATCTTTTATTCAAGCTTTGTTCACCATTTGATCCTCGCTCGCTCTCGCTTGTGCAAAACGGCGGCGGTTCATGAGAAAGATGAGGAGACTCGGACCACCAAATCCCTTTTGTCTCCCGGAAGTTCTCTCCGCCACCTACATGCTAGCGAGGTGTTAGTGTAATGACGCTTTGTCTCTCGAATTGACCTTCCACCGGGAATGAGGTCCGGTCCGGTCTCCAGCAAGCACTTCATCTCTCATCTTCTGTCGCTGTTTTGGACTCAAACTCGGCCCGTCCCCAAGTCTCATCTAAACTCGGGAGAATTGAGGACAATCAGGTCGTTCATCATATCATCGCAATCGGACATCGGACATCAGGCAACGGATGAACACCCCCAAATCGAGTCGGCCCCATCCGATAGACGGGGCCATGGACAGGGGAAGCAAGCAAACACAATGGAAACCCCCTGGAATGCGGCGTCGCTATTTGAGTTTCGCAATGACTTGTTCGTGTCAGCTCGTGATGGTTTGACCGTTTAACTTGACAGTCACGTCACGCACACACACACACACACACACACGATCCTTTTCTTTGCTTTTTGCTTGACAATTATGACCTGATTCCGTTGTCAGAAAGAAAAGAGGACGCAGCTCATCATGCTACTTTGCTTTTTTCTAACGTATGCAAAAAAAGAAACACCAAAAATGACGTCTTCGCTATCAAACTCATCGTCGATAACAGTCCCCTACTGGAGATGTCCGGCAGTTCAACCTACGTAGTGCGTAGCTTATCAACTGTGTGCTCGGCATAAACTAATGAGAAAAAAAAAAAAAAAAAAAAAAAAAAAGAAATTACCATTTGAACCCCCAAATACCAGCTGGCGCCAAGATGGTCTCATCCGGATACGCCAACCTGAGTCTTTGCTCTCAAAATACTCTGTCGGGGACCGGAGCGAAGCACTGGAAGCAACTAGTCATGTCGTAGATTTGTCGATCCAAGTGGAAATCCGGGGCATTAGTTTGACCAGGAACGGACATTGGGCCGGATGATGCCCTTTTGGGTCTCTGATGTCTCTTGTTTGTTGCCTTTAATATCACTTACACTACTGCATCTACCGTCTGGTCCAGCCGAACAGCCAGTAGCTCGACGTTGGGACCCCATTGCCCAGGCGCGCATAACAAGCTGGTCGGGCCCTTGGCATCTGGAGGATGGATGCTGGATGCAGCCCTGTCCCTGTCGATCTCTGGCCCCTCGACAACCTCGACAAAACAAAAGATATGTCCAATGCCATGTTTGTCCCGAGTCGGAGTATCTCCTTCTCCTCCTTTTCTCTAATAAACGCCTTGGAAACACCGACGGTCGTCACATCTAGACAAGGACAGCAGCCACATATCATGTCGCCCATCACCACCACTCCACTCTCTCCGCCCCCCAGGCCGTCCTCATCCCGCAGCGTCGCCAACAGCATCAGCGGCAGCACCTTGTGCGACTATCCCATCACGACCGGCGGCAACATTAGTGCGTTTGGATCGAGGAATGGGAACTGGCCCGCACTGCTACTAGGCGATCTTCACTTCACCGCCGCCGAAACGAACCTTGTTGTGGATGCGCATGCCACCTCGCATAGTAGCTCCGCCAACGCCAACGGCGGTGCCACTTCTTATCCTTCCACCTACACCGAGCGGGGTTATAGTGACCGTGACCGCGTCGATCGTCTCAATAACTACTTCCGGCCTTTAACCTCGACCGACACCAACGTCAGCAACGGCACCACCAGCACCAGCAGCATCAACTATTCCAGCAACAACAGCAACTCATACAGTAACCCGGGCACCTTTGCCACAACCCGCACCCGAAGCCAGACCTCTACCAGCTCTGCATCCACCGGCCGTTCCAGAGCCAGCACTAACCGCCGTTACCTGGCCGGCGGCACTAACTCCAGCTCCAGCTCCAGCAACCAGGCTTCCTCCTCCTCCTCCGTCAATTCCCCGTCGACCGGTCAGAATCACAACCAAAACAGCCACCCCCGGGGCATCTCCCCTAACGGCCTCGGCATCGGCCGCTACGGTCCCGGCACCACTGCTCACAACGTCTCTGCCGCCACTACCACCACCACCTGCACCTCGTCCCCCATCTCCCGCACCTCCTCCCCCACCACCCAGCGCAGCGGCGGAGGCCACAAGCGGCAACACAGCATGGTCACCCACGAGCAGATCCAGACCTCCAACGCGCAAATCGTATCGTCTTTGCCGTCCGGGTTAGTAGCCGTGTTTGTGGGCGCCACCAGGGGTATCGGCGAAGCGACTTTGAAGCAGTTTGTACGGCACGCGGTGGCGCCGAGAGTGTACTTCGTGGGGAGAGACAGGACGAATGGAGAGCGGGTGGGCGCGGAACTGGCGAATCTCAACCCGGAGGGAGAGTATCATTTTCGAAGCGCGGATGTGAGCCTGTTGGCGAACGTGGATGAGGTATGTAGGGAGATCAAGTGTAAAGAGAGAGTGATCAACTTGCTGTTTCTGAGTTGTGGGACAACAATTATGGGGATAGGTACGTTTTTTCCTGGCACATTTCGAGGGGAGGTAGATGGGGAGGAGGATGTCTGGGGAAGGGCAATGGAGAGGAATTCAAGAGCTGGCCACTCACTTGAGAGTTCAGGTCCTACGCTGCGCTCCCTTTTTCCCTCATCATTCTCTTTCCCATCTTCACACCTTCATGCCCATACCCTCCCGTACCCCAATATACAAGAAACCACACATGACTAACAAGCCCGCCACATACAGACACCAAAGAATCCCTCCACTACCCCGCCGCCGTCTCATTCTACGCCCGCGTCCGCTTCATTGTCAACCTTCTCCCCGAACTCCAAAAAGCGACATCCCTCCGGCGCGTCGTCTCCGTTCTCAACGGCACCAAAGAAGGGCACATCGACACGGGCGACTTCCAGTTTCGGCGTCTCGCCATGCTTCAAGCCCGCGGGCACTCGGCCTCCATGATGACTCTGGCGTTCGAGTCCTTGGCGCTCGAAGCCCCCGACGTCTCCTTCGTCCATACCTTTCCCGGACTTGTGAGGACGAAGCTGGGACAGGACACCAACCGGGCGGCCATTACGGTTCTGCGGGGGGTGTTTAAAGTGATTGGGCCGCTGTGTACGATCCCAGTGGCGGAGGCGGGCGAGAGGCAGTTGTTTATGGCTACGTCTGCCAAATTTCCGGCGAGAGAGGGGAGGGACATTGAGGAGACTTCTGGGGTTGGTCTTGGGTTGGGAGTGGTAGGCGGGACCAACGGCAACGGCAGCAACAGCAATGGCAGCGGCAGCAACAGACCATCTATCGAAATTCGCAACACCCAATCTGGCTCGGTACTTTCTGCCGCAGGCGGCAGCACCGCAACCGACAACAAAAAGGGTCATCGAAGAAAGGACTCGCACTCGTCGCACTCTACCAGCTCATCCTCAATGTCGATGAGCCTGAGAGTGGCCAGGGGAACAGATGGCAAAGAAGGCAGTGGGGTCTACTCGGTTAGTAACGATGGGGAAGGGTTGAGCGCCAAGACGGAGGAGGCGTTGAGGGTGATGAGGGAGGAGCAGGATATGGTGAGGAAGGTGTGGTTGCATGTTGAGGACGAGTTTGTGAGGATTACCGGGTGTGCTTTTGTGGCATAAAGTAGAGGTGTAAGGAAGGGGAAGTGTGTACTTTCTCTTTTTCTTTATGATTTGGTTCCTTTTCATGGCGTTTTCGGGTATGTCTTTTCCCCTTTCGTTTGGTCCGTCGGAATCGATGTCTCCCTGCTGTGTCCCCAACCTTGCGACGCAGACTGGGGACGGAGACTTTCAAATTTGGATACCACAGGTGCTGGCTGGGATGCCGGCACCAATAGCAGGATGTTTGTCCTTTATCGCTTATCTAATGTAGACATGAACAACCTCCCTCCTCCATGTACCACGTGCCCGTTGTGGCTCGAATCCTATTATTCGGCCCAGCCAGGTTGGGTCCAACTCTGAGGAGATAGATAAAAATACGATAATGTAATACGTGGAAGATGTGAAGAACAAATGCCTAGGACACTGCATCATTATGGCAAAGGACCACACCATTTTTCCCAAGATTCTTTTTTCTTTTGTGTGTGTGCAACGATTTCTTGGTGCTTCTTGTTTCTTCAGCAAGGCCTTTCAACGATTTGAACCACATCACTTCTTTGCTTTTCCTCTTGTCTATATTACAACTGAAGTCAATCACTTCAAGAATTGGTTTTAATTGAAAGCAACCAAGGGCTGACAAACTCCACATAATGCTTTTCGATATCCCTTCCCACTCATCATTTCCGCTCTCTCCAAACACGTCGTTGAACTGTGGCTCACCGAAATATTGTCGCTAAAACACAGGCCCCTTTCCAATAGCCGTTCTATCTCCACCAACAACCATCTCGGCGCCGCGATGGCCCAGGGGCATCAAGGGACCTCCCGACTTTCCGAAAACACGGAGATACCAAGATATTGCCGACAAGATCACTCCCTCCAGAAGCCATCTACCAAATCTTCCGCTCGCTTCCCAGTAAGCTGCTGGAGTGCTCTTTTACAATCTGTCGTTGATCCCCTGCTCCTCGTGCTATATGTGTCTAATCAGGGGCGCATCCGGGGCTAACCGGGGCTCGGCAGAATGTAACTGCAACGCCGTTGTACCCAACTATGACCGAATCAGGGAACTGACAAGGCCGTTGGCCAGTGGAAGCCCGCCTTCAGCCAACGCCTGTTGCCTCTTCCAGGCAGGACCCATTCGGGGCTAGCATCTCCTGCAGCTCAAAACAGTAAGGGTTCAATGGCTTGCATAAAGAATTCATCTCCATCAATCTTGGAGATGCTATTTCAAGAGATAGAAGATGCAGAAGTCGTTGAAAAAGTTTAATGGTCAATCCGGGAGTTGGGAAGGGGGAATTTGGAATTAAGCTGTTTAGGTACACTAGATATATTTCGTTTTCTTATCAGACTGCCTGCCGCCATCTCCCCTCTTTTAGCCGGCGAATTGCTTGCTCATCATGGCACTTCAACTTGGTCGTTCAGCGCACATCTTTTTCCCATTTCGCCCAACACCACCCCACACCAACGCGCTACTTTCTCCAAACAATTCACTACACCATACATCATCTCTATACACTACACACTACAATTCTCACAACAAACCCTCTCTCGTCCAGCAAACGAAAACCCATCAAAAAAAAAAAAAAAAAAAAAAAAAAAAAGATATTGCCACCACCACAAACCACAACTCCTGTCGGCACTTCTTTGACCTCACTCATTGGTGGTCTCACAACGTAACGGTACCCTTTTTCCCACCCTTGTCCTTACTTCACACAACGTGTTCAGGGTCCAGCCAAGGGTAAGTGGCTACTCTACACTAGGTAGACCCCGTTAGTGCCTGGCAACTAACCTTCATCAGTGCTAGCCCCTCACTGTCTGCTCACCCTCGCGATCTGCCAAGACAGCGGATCTAAGACCGCCGACGACGCCACTGGCGGTTTTGTTATTGGCATCTCGGCTTTCTCTCATTCCAACGCGTCGCCTAGGCCCCGCGGACCGGAGTTCTCTCCGATCCTCTACGTCATTTCGTTCTTTTCCTTCTTATTTTCCCCCAAGCGACACTGTTTGTCACTTCGAGGTACTGTCAGCGGCTTTCGTGCGACAAATTCAGTCAGTTGACGGCGCTGTCACATCAACCAACCAACCAACCAACCTTTGCGAGCAACCTCGAATCTGAACGCCGTCTACTCAAGTAGTAGAGAACTACATCTACATATCTGTACCGCCACTTCACTTCTTTTTCACTCGTTTTCGCCCGGAGCCGTTGACCATGCCTTCCATATCGGCACTCCCGACAGAGCTCGTTATTTTCGTGCTCGATAACCTCGAGCGTTTGCGGGATCTAGCTGCTCTTGCCAGAATCAACCGGAGGCTATACGATGTTGTGAACCCTATCCTCTACAAGCGCGCAGTCTCGCGTGACTTTCCCTACCCCCTCGAGTGGGCAGCACACAACGGCGTGGTCGGGACCCTGTTAAAGGCCCTTGACTCTGGTGCAGATCCCAACCACGAGTTCCACCAATGCACATCATCCAGGGAGTGGAGAAAGGCTCTTACTCAACGAGGCCAGCTTCACCCGGGCTGGGATACCGCAAGTGTCTGCGATTCCAGAAGCACTTTGCTGGCCGGTAGCAACGGCAGCTCCTACGGTGTTCAAAGCATGGCATATGACGACGATGAATCCATGTCGGATTTCACGGATGACGGCGACAACTATACCGACCATGAACCCATGTTCTATTCGCCCACCCTCGATGGTGATGGCCGTAGCGTTGGTCGCAGCGACGATTCTGACGGTTCGGGAAGATGGACCCAGACCAAGTTCGGCCGCAGGTACACTGCCCTCCATCTCGCCGCCAGAGCGGGCCACATCGGAGCCATCAGCACTCTGCTCGAACGCGGTGCCCGGATGGACGTAGTGGCCAAACAGTTCTGTTCTTGCTGGCGAGAATATGGCATTTTGACCTCGATGGAAGGCACCGCCTCCATCGATGGACTCTACATTCCAGGCTGGACGCCTCTCCATGTCGCCATCTGTCATGGCAACGAACAGGCTGCCATCAAGCTTTTGGCCAGTGGAGCACCGGTCTACATGGAGCTTTTTCCCCCGTGGGAGAATTCGGGCTTTCTCGAGTATCCTGCTACCGCCCTCCACCATGCTGCCGCCATGGGCCTTGTTCATGTCATTCGATATCTGGTGGATGTTGGACTACAGGCAGACATCGATGTGCGCGACAACAAGACCCTGACTCCCTTTTACTACGCCTACGCGTATCGCCGCTGGGACTCTACCGTGCCGCTGCTGCTCAACCTCGGCGCCAACATCAACGTCGATATTGACATATTTCTCCCTTACTCAACCATCACACCCCTGGGTGAGGCTTGTCGCGTCGGAAACTATGAGGACGCAGACAGGTTGATCGAGCTCGGCGCCGACGTCAACCGCGGCTACATTGCAACCAACATCGGCAATGGCCTGACACCCCTCCACATGTGCGCTATGCCTCCGGCCAAAGGCCATCGCTTTGCTATGCTTTCCGCAGGAGGAGGCAACAATGTAGAAGAGCCGGAAACGCGCGAACAGGAATATGCAAGAGCAGTGAAGCATGGCTTGGATCGGATGCAAACGATCGAGAAGCTAGTGGTTCACGGGGCATCCCTAGAGACAAGAGATTGCCCAGGTGACACACCGCTCATCGCAGCAGTCCAGCACTTCAACGTGCCGGCCATCAAGGCCCTGATCAAAGCAGGCGCCGACATCCACGCCACCAACTCTCGTGGCCGAAACGTCCTCATGCAGGCCATCGATGGCCCTCCCTTGCCCATCTCCTCCATGTCACCACGCGTGAACATCGGGACCCTCAGCCGCGTCCTTCGCGAGCTTCTCAACAACGGCGCCAGGATCGACCACAGAGACAACCAAGGCAACAACCTCCTGCACGTAGTCTGCAAATGCTCCCAAGAGCGGCTCACCCCCGATCTCCAGTGCGACATCCTCCGTCTCGTCCTCAACATCCCCGGCGCCGCAGCCCTCATGCAGGCCCGAGAAGACTCGCACGAGTCTCTCACCCCGCTCATGGTGGCCTTCATGGAAGGCAGACTCTTGTGTTGCGACGTCCTTGTCCGCCGCGGATGCTGGGGTGGGGACAACAACCCCCAGCGGAAAGAGGACTTGGCGTGGATGGCCAACCGGTGCTATCTCCGCAATAACAACCCCGACCAGCACCTAATGCATTTCCTCCTGGACCTGGACGTGGACGGATACCTGGCTACAGACCCGCAGTTTGCCGCCTATATCCTGCATGACCTCGAGCGGGGCTGGGTCCGTCACTCGGGAGACGATCTGTTTGATCCCCAGCGCCCTGTGACCTTCCTGGGCGAGCGGCTGTATAATCGCTCTGTTCTGCTGCGGGGGCCGGACGAGTTGGATGAGGATGTCTTGGGGAAACCCAAGGAGGACGTGAAGGCGTGGTGCACCGGCGCGAGTACCAAGCAGATGGGTCTGTGTACTACTAATAGTGGTATTATGGATGATCCGTTTGGATGGGCGCGGCCGCTGCCTGATCCTAGTTGGTAGTGATTATTTGCTCTCTTCAATTTTTTTTCTTTTTTCTCTTTTTTTCCTTTTTTTTTTTATCTTTTGATTGTTGAGACGTTATACATTTCCTTATGTACAATTCCCTTTTCCTTTTTCCCATTTTCGGTTCTCTTTTTTTTTTTTTCAATTTCGGTTATGCATAATCCGTGCGGCGTTCAGGACGGCACTGGTGGCGTTACGAGGCGTGTTAAAGGTGCACTGGTTGATTCTCACGGGATGTATAGGAGTAGAGGTAGACGGGAGGGTTGGATGCTGGGATGGGAGGGGATTGGAGGTACGGAAGATATTAGGGTAGGAAGTATAGAGAGGTAAATAGGTAGGTAGGTACCTAGAGAGAGGTAAGTACCTAGGTAGGTACCTAGTCACCGAGAGTCGTAGAGGTAGGTAGTGCAAGAATTCAAACACCTAGAGGTACCTACGCTTTAACCTCTACGGTACCTTACTTCGCGGATCTCCATATACGACATTGAATGGTAATCACTTGCACACCCACATTTCTCTCCTCTTCCTCCTGTACCTACACCTACTTTCTCCCACACGCGACATAGATCAGAGTCATAATACACTACTCTACGCCTAGCTTTTACACATTGCGCTACGCCTTACCTATCTCCTTTTATTCTCAAGACTACCTTTAGGTAGGTGTGCCTCCAGCTTTTCGAAACCCGGGAACTTGTGCGCAGCGATTTGGTTTCTTTTCTTTCAGTCGAACACCGGGCAATTTTTGCGCTTCACAAACCATTCGTCACTAGAGGTACCTAACCAAATTCATTCAAGTGAGATACTCACGTCAGGACCCAGTTCGTTTTCCTTTGTTGAGGTTCTCTTTTCCTTGGTATGTGCCGAATCCGGCCTTTGATGTAACGAAACCTAACCCTACCTCTATCGTACCTATGTCACCAGCGCCAGGCAGCCCCTTTAGAATGGCGGACCAATTGACTGGTGCTCGCCGCACAACATAAGGTAGGTAGACAAGCGGAGGAGAGTCACCGCCAGGCCCGCGATGACATCGATTTCAATCACCAAATGCGTTTAGAAAAACTTCCTGGCTACCTAACGTTAGTACCTACCTAGGTAGTCATGACCACGAGCTAGGTACTGGACGCGGTAAATACTTACCTATGTTAAGGACATGACACCGCGTCACAAAGCGTGTGAGCCTGTAGTGCGTGGCGGCACACTACCTAGTTGAGGCAAAGAGGTAGGTAGGTACCTCTGGCAAGTCTTGAAAGTCTTGCAAGCCTCGTTGCCGATAACGCAAGGCCTGGCACCTTGCTTAACGGAGTTGAAGTGGAAGTGTGCGAGTGCGAGTGCGGTTGCGAGGGGTTTCTTTCGCTCTGGTGGTGCAGTCTGTTGGAGACGGTAGCAGGATTATTGACGTTGTTGCTTCGTTCCATTTGATCCATACCTAGGTAGCGTAGGTATGTTGGAGGTATATATACTTTAAAGAGCGCACGTGTGGCCTTGGGGAGAGAGCGTGTGGCTTACACATGGGTCATGGTGATCGTAATAGTAGGTAGGTAAAAAGTGAGCTCGGTAATAGAGGCAGTTCAAAGAACAATACTACCTACCTAGAAAAAGGCGACGACGTGATGGCTTAGCGCGGGTAGGTAGTAAGCAACTTCACGGACTAGGAACATTGCAACCGACGCGGGAGACTTCCAGATTACCAAGTCCACCTGTCCACCCGTCCACCCCCCGTCCACCCCCCGTCTCGGTGTACCAGCCGCACGCGCAAGGCAGCAAGCAGGCACGTACCCCCTCCAGTAGGTACCCCCAGTGCCCAGGTACCCCCCCCAATCCCCCCATCCCCCTCCCCCAGGCTCCAGCCCCTTCCCTCGCGGTATACGTACTATGTCTTTATCCCACCCTTCCAACAAATAAACAAACAAAAGCGCGGTTGGCGTAGTAGTCTAACGCGTACACACCGAAAAAGCTACACAACTTTGTACGAAGGGTGTGAGTTCAATGCTAACCCGAGCACGCAAACAATGGTTCGGACTGGGGGCGGTACTAGGCACACATACACCAATTGAGTACCAAAAGGCAGTGTAAGAACCCGGGTTCGAATCCCGGACCGCGCATATCTCTTTCTAAATTTCCTTTTTCTCTCTCTTGATATTCCTTAATGAAGGTGATGATGTCGTTCTTTTTTGGTTGTGGGTGGTCGGGGAGGGACTGGAATGTGGTTCATGTGTTTGTGCTGTTGGATGGTAGTGCTGACGATGATGAGTTCTTGGAAGCTGAGAGAGAGCGGGCAGGATTGGTTCTTTGGAGGGGGGATATGCCTCTTGTTTCTCCTTTCTCCGGCTTCCGGTGTTTGGTTGTGCAAAACTGTGGTGAATAAGAGATACTGATACTTGCGTCTTCCAGTTCCAACTCTCCTAAGATCATCACCAGCAGTATCCCAGAATGTCTTTGCTTGTGCCATTCAACACTATAACCCATCTTTGGGTTCTCATTTGGCTTATCTGGTAGGAGAGATCTTACCTACCTCTAGGTATCGAGGCTCCTCGATATCCTCAAGACCATTGAAAAGGATACAGCGGTGGACATCGTGTCTTCATTTGCTCCTCTATTGCCTCTCTCCCAATGGTCTTCAGCTGACAAGACTCTCACTCAAAGTCATGATTCTCTCTCCACTGTACACTAATTGAACTTGGTCTATATCTTAACATTGTCAAGTCAACGTTCGCACTACACTTTTCAGGCTTTTACACCCCGGACTTGGACTTCCTCGAGTTGCATGTACGGGACGAACGGCAGAGTCGCAGAGGTGTGATCACGACAGAAAGCGTGCCATTATCATTTCAACAACGTCATAGATTTACGAGAAAGCGCATAGGATATGACAGGAATAGGCGGTAGAGAACAAGCACGAAATCAACCATAGTCCCAATGAATTGTGGGTTGCTCTACTCGTGTATTTGTTCTATGGCTACCCTAGAGTACAGGTACATGTACGTTTCACGCAATCATTCCTTTACCTTCCCTCTTCAGCTGACCATTCTTCTTGCAGCACAATCGATTGTGATCCATTCACTGATCCAAGGCCAGGAGTATGGATTCGAGTGGTGTCTTTATTGGGTCTATGAACAACCTGTGGTCGATAGACGTAGCAATCAACCAGTGATGCGTGTGCCTGGATATCATGTAGGTAGGTCGCGATGATGCTTGCTTGTTGCTAGCCGATGACAGAACGGGGAGTCTGCGGCTCGTCATCGTTAGCCGTGGTACAACTCTAAAGTTGGATTTGGAGTCTTACATTGCGGCGCCACGACTTTTGAGGCTTAAGCTTGCTTCTGCTGTTGTTGGAGCCAAGAAGGGAGGATGGCAGGGTCGGTGTAGGACTCGTAAAAGTCCGCAGGGGCGGTAGACGGCGAGAAGCTCTGGGTCGAGCGGACCAAGGTTGGGTCTTGTAATTGGAATGAGTACAATTCAAATCCCTTGACGAAGAACGATTGGGGAGAAAATCCTGGAGAAAGACAAGGCGACACGGGACGGCGTTCTTGGGAGAAGCAGCGGAGATCTGGGGCGGCGCACAAACACCCGGGGGCGGACTCTGGTGCAATCAAGCGTCAGTCATCAAAGATCTCGAACTGGGGGGCATGGTTTACTCAACGTACGGATCAAGTGTCCGCCCCTTGGGAAGATTCAATGGCCTCATCAACGCTGACGCTACGCAGACGGGAGGTATTGAATGACCGTTTGGTCCCGAGTTGTCGAAATTTTGATCGAGAGACGTCAACGATGTCCTGCTCACAGACCAGTTGCCATGGTTAGATCATGTCGGAGATGTTTGGTGGTTTGATCAGCAAAGAAGACATACCTGAAGTTGCTGGGAGCCCTGGAGGGCGCCCGTTGGCGTGCCCAAGGTTCTGAATTGAACGGAGGACATGAAGAGGGGGCAGCACTCTGGTGTGACAGAGATTGCTGCTGCTGCCCCCTCTCCGTGTCGTGTTATCTCGTCAAGGCGAAGAAGAATTCCGTCGGACCGGACAGTCAATGTCGGTTTTACCCTTCGGGTGTAGGTGACATTGTGTTGAGGGTGAGGTGAGGGGAGGTAAAGGGATGTGTTGGAGGAAGAGAAATGGAAGAACACCAGGAGATGACGGGGATTTTGAATGAAGAAGTGCAAGCCGACTTGAGCAGCTTCAGCAGGCCGAGAGGTCACGTCTGGGGTTTCTAGCCCTAAATCACGTCACCAGCCTTCCAACCATGAACCAAATGGAAGGCGGGGGAACCAGCCACGGGACCTCGAGGAGAAGCTCAACGGAGCAGGAGCAGCCTGCCTGTTCTTAAGTACAAGGTACCCCCAAGTACACGTACTACCTCTATGTAGAGGTACGTTTCTCTCCCCAAGGCAGCTGTCCAGGCTCCTTCCCTCGTGGTATATGTATCAGGTCTTTGTGCACACCTTCCAACAAGAACCAATGTGCGGTTGGCGCAGTGGTCAGCGCGTTCACCTCCTAAACTGGGACCCCCACTTCAGGATCATCCAAGGAGGGGTGGCAGCCTCCACATCACCTACCATAAGGTTGACCTGAAGTCCAGCCGGCTGTGAAAGGACCCGAGTTCGAATCTCGGACCGCACACATCTTTTTTCTTTTTCCTTTGTTCTTCTTCACGATCATGTCACGGATGGATTGTTTTATTTTCTGTTTTGACTTGTGATCTCTCCTCTTATCGTGTTTCTACCTCTCTTTGCGTTGTGTGATAGATGGTTCGAGCACCAGCGGTTTGCCGATGACACTTGCTTCTTTCCCAGGTGCTTGCCCTACAAACCTGCAAGAGATAGAAGGTTGGAAAGATCGAACATGCCGTCTCCTACGCAAAGTCGTTGACACTGCCGTGATTCAACTCACTGTAGAGAGACCAAAGTGATGCAGAATCACGCCTAGAGGTACCTCATAGATGTAACAGAAGCTTGACTGAACGGCGTCCCAGATGACGACTCTAGACAAGACAGCACATAGGGCAACAAGTAGATGTACCTAGGTAGGTAGTCATGGGAGACCTCGCGGTGGAGGCAATCATGCCCCTGATGTGAGGAACGGGAATAATTTGGCAAAACGGACCATAACTCTACAAATTTTCCGAGTGTCCATCCCGCTTTACAGGTTTTTGAAGGGGCGAAGGGATCTGTCTCAGATCGTAGATGTACCGCCAGAGAGTCTTAAAGTCGGTACAACGACAGAAAGCCTATGATATCAACAACAGGAGCTTCCTGAAGCAGGCTCGAAAACATGTCTCTTTTCCCCATGTCGATGCTGGATATGTACAGCAGAATCTGAACTTTGGCGAGACCAAGGCGACGTTGACTCGATTACCTGACAACATGAACCACACCACAAGGCTTTACGTGGACACTCGCATCTTCTGAAACAGAATTGACGAAGAAGATATCCCTAATCTGTCTGTCTGCCATCTAGGGATACTTGAATCAATGGAGATGTGACCCTCGCTGTCTAGAGGTATATAGAAAGATAACGGCCGCTTTTGGTCTTCTCAACCACACCTACCTCTAGAGGTAAGGTAACCACCGGAAAACCCATCATTGCAACGTGAACAGCATCGCCCAAGGGCTACAGCACCGTCGGCCACACCCGAAAAGGATCATGAAGCAGAGAACACCTCATCAAGCAAGTGGAAGCCCCAAGGTCGGGTACAAGGAAGTTCGCCTACACCTGGCACTTGTGAACGAGCATAGACCCATCCTCGCAAGCATACCGAGCTCAATCTGCGAGTTGTTGTCTGGTTGCCACACCTTCTGGAAATCATGGGCAGTGGCTGGAAGAATGTTGAAATCCTCGGGGATGTGCTTGAATACCCCTGAACGCTACCACGAAGAAAAAAAAACACCTAAGACTGGAGGGGAAAACTAGCAGACCTAGCATCGTGCCTTCCAAATGGTACACGCGAGACATCTACCGAGTTTTCATGTGGGAATTCGTCAGAGACTGGTGCCCGCAAGAAAGGCGTGAGTGATAATACGAGCACAGAGCTTGAGCGGGCATGGAAGTTCGCAACAATGAGGATCACATCAAGAGTCAAGATCAGGATTTGCGAGGCGAACAAAGTTCAAATTCGTGTCAAAGTGAACGGAATAAGCGACCGGAAAACATGAACAGAAACCCCAAGCCCTAACCTATGAGTGAATGGTTCACTTGTCGAAGGAAAAACCGCACGAAAGTTGTCCTCCCTCTTCTCTCCACTCCCCCGCCCCCCTCCGGAAGATCTCTTCTTCCTTCCAGCCCTTTCCCCCCAAACAACACCCCTCCAGCTCGGACTGGGCAAAGCCAAAAACCAGCTTTATGTACGCGTCGTACGGGCCCAGAATGTCTGGACGCGCCACGAAGCGGAATCTCGTCGCTGTCTTGGTTGGGTTCTCGGCGCGGGAACGGTCTTAGGCGCGGGGAGCGCCGGGGAGCTGTGACGGGACAAATGCATTAGTGACCGACTTGGAAAAAAAACCAGATGAAACGTGTTACGGGATGAAGAAGAGTGCATGGGATGGACTGTATGAGACTGGAAGACAGAAGTGTACAGGTAGAGGTACTCACGAGATGCATTTTCTTTTCTCCATATCCTCCCCCCGCGGCGCTCCCATCTCTCTTTAACGACGCGGAGTACGTCGATAAGATGATGACGGTGATGGAGGTTTGAGCATGTCGTTGGCGTTGATGTGGTGTGAGATTGAAGAGAGAAGTGACAATGTGTGAAGGTGTGAGGAAAAAGAGAAGAAATATTTTCCCCACGCTGAGGATTTGGGAAGCTTTATACCTCCCCAGAGGCAGGTACGTAACGAGTGCAAATTTGGACAACTGTCAGACAGTTGGAAGTCATGACGGGATAAAAAGATTGCCGACAGGAGGAAACCAGGCAGACTGAACGGAAGGAAAGACTTGGGCTGGCAGGAACGACAAGATCAAAAGATCAGCAGACGGCGGGACCGAGGTTGCCAGGCTTCCCGAGCCGAAGTTGCACGTTTTCCAGAGTGGCGGTCACCAGAGCCATGGCCAGCGGAGGTACCTCTAGGTAGGTACGGTAGGCCATGTACGAAGGGCAAGAGCAAAATAATACACGACGGGACACGACGGGATACACGATGGGACCGAGGCTATCAGGCTCCCCGCTCTCCAGATTGCCCGTCTTCCAGAGAAGTGGAAGGGAAGTCACTACATGAATGCCAGAGCCACAGTCACTCAATGATGGTGTGCGTGTCTGCTGTCTTTCTTTCTCCTTCCTTAGGTTCCCTCTCAAGTGGAAGTCCTCCAGGTTGTCTTGTCCTTCTTCCTCTACTAGCCGAACGGCCAACAGTCACACGACAGGAGGGGACAGAAGCTGGCAATGCAAATGGAAGGAGAGACTTGGGCTGGCAGGAAGGACAGAGCAAGAAAACAGGCGGCGGGACCGAAGCTCCTCGGGCTCCCAGCTGACCGAAGTTTGCCTGCCTTCCAGAGCAGTCACTAGATACAATATGACCAGCGCCGCAGCCAACAGCAACAGCTGAGGTGTACGTACCTCTTTCTACCTCTTGCCTTCCTTCCCATCTTCCTCCTTCCCTCCCAAATCCCAAGTGTCAACCCGCTCACTCGCCCCCACTGCCCTCTACTCCATCTGGACCCCTCTGCCTGCCAGCTCCCGTAGCTTCCCTTCCACGTCACTTGCCCCCCGGGCCCGAGTCCCTCCACTTCTAGTAGATAAGGTACCTCTTCGAGTCCTGATTCCAACAAGTAAGCAAACAAGCAAAAAAAGCGCGGTTGGCGTAGTGGTATAACGCGTCACTCGATTCAAATAATCGGGTTGAAATCCCCGACGAACCACAGTTGAAAGACCGCGAGTTTCAGAGGGCAGCACCAGCCACGATATTGAGGAATCCCTTGGTGAAGACCCCGGGTTCGAATCCCGGACCGCGCATTTCTATTTTTTTTCTTGTCTTCTTTTTGCTTTCTTGGTCTTCCCTCTCTGGCCTTTTGCCTTTGTTGTTGATGTTTTCGTTGGATGAAGATCTTCGCGTTTCTCAACCAGCATTCGTCTAGCGTGGTGGGACTTGATTTTTGCCTGTCAAGGATTATTCTCATATCAGAGTCTGGGCCGTTACTTGGAAGTGGACTGAGAGACCATGTAGCAGCTATGAATTCCGCAGTGTGACACTCCGTAGAAGTAGAGGCAATAACACTCGCTAACACTTTTTTCCATTGCAATGAATCAAGCCGGTTCGAGGCATTTTGCCTGATATCATCAGATATTGCCATAGAGGTACCTCTAGGCAAATGCTCAAAAGGTAAGGACAGAGGTTTCACCAGTCCAAAGCGCTTGGAACTTTTCTCTTGGACGATGTTAACGAATAGGGAGTTCACGAAGGGGAAGATGTACAAGAGAGACTTGGTCAAACTTAGAACAGCATCGGGTAGGGCGAAGAGTCAACATATCATGTACTACCGGGTACCAAAAGCTCATTTGTGCACGAATACAAGGACGACAATTTGATTTAGCATTCTGTTCTCTGTCTACTTGGTACTACACTCGATCCATCGACCCTCCTAAATCACATCCGATCTTTGCCCCCTCCCTTCACCAATGGAGCAATGAAGCAATGAAGCAATGAAGCAGTAGTAACGCGGCGGAAGATACGGTCCAGCTCCTCCAGTGAGCGGTCCTTCAGCCGCGCTCGGACAGACGCCATATCAACGGGCCAGGCCAGCGGACACCTATCACAACGACTGGTCAGCATTTTGCCATCGTACTACAACCACAGCAGAAGAAGACGGGACATTGTATACCTTGCTGGTGGCGACGTCCAGGGTTGGACGCCTCCAAGGTCACCGGCAGGGGGACCGTTGAAACCGCTGCTCATTTCCACTCTGCTGACAAGAAAGTTATCGCCAGCCTCGGCGGCGGGAACACCATCATAGACAGGATATGCCCGCCGCATGTACGTGGTGGGAGGCGGATACGGCTGGTATGGCGCAGGAGCTTCCGCGTTCCGGCGGTCGATTAGAAGCTCTCATGCTTTTGAGAGCAGGTTTTGGCGAGTTCGGCCTCTGGGGCAACGTACCCGGTAACGTGCCGGTACGGCTGTCACTTCAGTGGCAGCCCAACTGGCCGTCCTGTGCTATGCTGTTGGAAGCATCACGGCTCTGATGTTGTAGAAACCCTGAGATTGGAGTGTCAGACTTCTGGAGTGTGAAATTGTAGTTTTTCTCAAACTCTCAAGCAGGAAGAGGAGGCGTCTTCACGCACAAAGAATGATAAAGTCAAAGGAAAGTGACACTCACGCCATGTGTTTCTTTACGGGCGAGGGAGCCCCTTGGGCTTGGGGGTGCTGGTCACATAAACTTGGAGGGCGGCTTTTCGGATGACTGCATAGGCTGGAGGAGGGAAGGGGCCCGGGGCACGGGAAGTCTGGTGTTGCGGCCGGGTGGTGACCACCGCATGGATCGCGGTGTCCGCGGTGGAAGCCTGAGCCGAGTGAGGGAAGGGACCGGGACAGGTGGTGCTGGTGGTGTGATGCAGCTTCGTTTGCTCGTCGCGAGCTTCTTGTTGCTGCTGCTCCTCCTGCTGTTGCTGTTGCTGTCAGTTGAGATTCTTGGATGGAGTTATGGTGCGTTCACTAAAGTGAAACAAAGCGCCCCCGTGGGATTACCACACGGTAGTGACGATGCAGGTTTCCTTCAAGGAGTTGGACATTTCGTGGAAGGAGGATTCGTGTGTGACAGGATTGATCTTGTGCCGCAGAAATGGGTGGTATGGAACAGAAGAAAAGTCAAGATGAGGGATGGCAAAGAAAATGATCTGAGATTGCCTCACGGTCGCGTGGTGATGTGGAAGGAAGACGCGGAAACCGCTGTCAAAAGGAAGAAAGTTGAACTGAAGACTTACTTGCGAAGACATCTTGTGATGGTTGTGGAAGAGATGGAAGGTTTGGAACTTGTTCTTGCGCAGTGCGGTCTTGTTGTGATGAGCGAGGACTTGTGGTGGTGGTGATTGTTGAAGAAGTGAAGGAGGAAGAAAAAGGAATAAAGTGGGAGCAAGAAGAAAGGGATTTGAGAATCCCTGATGGGGAGGGACTCACAACCCGCTTCAGCCTTCCAATCCGGCACCGGGTAACAGCACAGCTGCCTGCCAGATTCTGATCGTTCAAAGTATGTTTCTACAACATCATGTGAGCAGGTGGCCAGACTCGAAGGAAAAGAGGGAAGGAACGAGGAGTAAGATGCCGGTGCTGCCAGCCCGGTCTCAGAGGCTGGCAGACGTCGTACGTACTACTTGTATCGAGGTAGGTAGAGGTAGTACGTACCATATAGGTCTCCCGTCTATGCCTTTACTTCAACAAAAAGCGCGGTTGGCGTAGTGGTCAGCGCATCCACCATCTTCGAAGAGGACCATGCGGGTTGAAATCCCCGCCGAACCACTTTCAAAGACCGATTTTGGGGGAAAAAATGGCTGTACAAGAATGTGGAAGACCCAGGTTCGATTCCTGGACCGCGCAACTATTTTTTGGTCCTTTTTCTGCGGTTTTGCATGCATCTGTAGAGGTCTTCAAAACAACCCTACTCCGGAATGAGCTTAACAACACCCTAGGTCGACATGTTCTATGCTTCGAAGCAGAAACAGCCGGCCTCGTGAATTGCCCCTCGTCTCGTCACTTGAGAATTTGTACAAATACGCCAAATCTTATAAGAAGAGCAAACAAGAACATGCTGCGCTGAGAAAGAGAAACAACCTCATTCAGGACACTCCTCTAGATCTCAACAACTTTCTCCAGACTTGTCACCGGAAGGCTCAAGATTCAACGTATCACCGTCCCACAGTGCCCGGCAACTATCCTAGCAGGTACCGAAAGACCCCTCATCCGAAGTCCAGAGCCGACCAACCCAAGCCCCAATCCCAGAGATTCCAGAACCTGCGCAAGGTACCAAGTACCCCGCTACCTCTGCCTTAACTTTTCTCTTCATCCTCAGACCCGACGGCCAGGCTCCAGGTAGTACATGTACAAGGTCTTTGGTCCCGTCTTTCAACAAATACAAGCGCGGTTAGTGTAGTGGTTTAACACGTCCACACAGCAACCCACGGCCCGGGCCCCTTTTCAGACATCCCCATGAGGCTCTGGGTTCGATTGCATGGTCCGGCGTTTGGCGTTCTTTGCATTTTCTTGGTTCTTTCTTGGAAATTCTCTGTGCGTTGAATTCTGGTTCCGATGTTCTCTTCCCCACCAACAAAATATTCATATTATAGAGGTACCTATCACCCGAGAAGAGGGATAGACTTCTGGAGACTGGTTACCGGGCCGTGGACCTGATCTTGTGGAAAATCCTAGGTTCGAATCCTGGACTGCGCATCACATCTTTTTTTGCCCATCCACCTTAGTGGTGAAAGCTCTGTGAAGTGATGTTAGCTTTTTGTTTCGCCGCTACGGAGAGCTTTGCTCTTGTACTTCTGACTGAGTTTCTTCTATGGTGCTCACAACATGTTCAAATTGGGGAGTGTCTCTTTTCGACAAGACCCCAGATGTTCTTATGCCCCGCACGACAGCTCTATGCTGCGAACGGCTGTTCGGCCGATTATGTGAGCTCTGCTTGAGAGAGCGTATAGCTTGCTGAGCTTGCTTTGCACTTCACGCGGGTGACAATAATCAGGGAAGAACATCCTCTGCTCTGCTTGACTGGGACATTCGGTTTCTACCATATTGCGAGTTGCGAAAGTTCCTTCCAGGTTGTCATGTTGTGAAGTTGTTGCGCTGGGCTTGCGATATCTGAAGTTCAACTTTGGTAACGGGACAAAAAAGTCAACGATCTGCCGATGGTCAAGTTGGGAATAGGTGAGGGATGAGGGCATCATGGGTGTTGTACAGTGGATGGAAGAAGGAATAAATGACTTTGCTGTTACACTCGCATCGCTCGAGTTCCACTCCATTTGTTTATTTCTATTTTGTCTTTATGATTCACGAACCTTTTGTGAACTGTACATTTGCATTTGATGCAGTCATAGCAGCGGGAATGCAAGACGCAGGGGACGTGGCGACGTGCGCAGTGGGTATCGGGAACAATATCCAAGTCAATTATTACAAGGGCGCATAAACTCCGATGCAGTGATAACATTAAAGGCTGCATAAGAGATGTATGACTTTGACTCCTTCTGGCTTCTACGACTTCGTGATAATCTCGCCGAGGCCATAGGGTGGTGCCGTGCTGCGGTGCAGATAGCTTCCGTATTGGACATGGATGGGAGGACTTGCTTTGCGGGTGAACGTTGCAGAAAAGAGGAAACAGGAGCAAAGAAAGAGCCACCAAAAGTCATCCGCATCGCGTCATCCCCCGGCCATGCTCTGCTACTGAACCGTCATGTGTTGCCCTGGTTGATAGCGGGAAATTTACAATGGCAGTGTGTCCAAACGAAAAACATACATAAAGGGGTGGAAGCAAGTGAACCTAGGGACCTTGACATGAGGTATATGTATTAGATCTTTGTGCAGAGGATACAGCAAGAAACAAAGCGCGATTGGCGTAGTGGTTAACGTGTCCACCACCTCGCGTTGAGTATGCGGGTTGAAATCCCCGCCGAATCACTTGGAAAGACCGAGATTGAGGGTACATGTAGTCAAGATTTGTGTTTTAATCTTGCCTTTTTGTCTGGCGATGATGATGTGGTGGTGATGATGGTGAGGTTTGGAACTGGAAGTGGAGTGTAGCATGAGGGGGACTTTCATGCGAGTGAGCTCGGTGCCTGGTGCAACGAGGAAGGAGGATGTGTGGAAAGAGCCAGCCATCCACGGAATGGAACTGGGAGACAGTGTGCGGATTCGACTGGCCATGTGCAGCAAGTGCAAGATGGGAAGGAATCTCGAGTGTGGACTGGGGTTTATGTATCCTGCAGGTCCTTGTGCCCAGACCTCAACAAGAAAAAGCGCAGTTAACGCGTTCACCACTCAGTGTGCAGTTGTCTGGGTTGAAATCCCCGGCGAACCACTGTCAAAGACCGACTCTGGGGGGCATGGGCATAAGGTATATGAGCAAATGGTGAAAGACCCAGGTTCGATTCCTAGACTGCGCATTCTTTTTTTCCCTTTCTGTCTTTCCCCCTCCTCATGGGTGATGCCTTCATGATGGTGATTGGAGACTCGTGTCTTCACTGGCAAGTGGCAGAGGAACTTCCAACCTTGATCTACCTACCTTTACTCTCTGGCCTGACCATCAAATTAAAGTACACCTGGTCACGAGTTGAAAGACCGAAAAAACGCGCAACTGGACCTTGTCAAGAATCTTGAATCGCCAAAATACCCTTCCAGTTCCTTGCAGCTGGCACCACCTCATCAAGGCCACTGCCCCGGCCGGCACCAGCAGCTCGGGACCGACATCCACGGCACCACCCTAAGCAAGCACGGATGCGCAAGCTGGACCTTCACACGGCGCTATACAGGAACCCAGGTCAGACTCCAGTACCAACAAGTCATCAAGAAGTTAGAGTGGAGTAGTAGTTTAACTCGCTGCCCTCCCAAACTCGTGTTTGGAGTTGCGGCAGAGACTCGGGTGCGAATCCCGGCTCTAGCACATTCTTTTTGTGTCTTTTCCTGTTTTTGGCACGATGCACACAAAGTGCACAAACTTCCTTTTTCCTTCTGAGATTTTACTTGAGTTGATATTGAATTTTTTTACCGGTCAAAGGTTGAAACGTGTTGAAGAGAAAGGGCTGCTTAGCTGCTATAGCGGGAGCAGCCTGGATCCGGACAGAGACAAGGAAGGCATGGCTACCTACCTAGAATTGACCTGAAAGATGGACTGAAGGTGCTTCTGGAACTGGGCCGCCTACCACCTTCCAACTCACAGATTTTTGTATTTCTTTTCACTGCGGAACAGCCAGTAAACGTCCTCAAAGACAGGGGCGAAGTTCTGCTTTATCCGCCCGACAGCTCTCTCTACCTAGAAGTCTGGTTGCACTGTGGAATTACTTCTGTGACACTCGGCAATCACGACGGCGATGTCGATCAAAATGCAACCAAAAAAACGAAAACGGACTATACCAGGCCACATTGTCTTCGGTTGGCTTTACTTGACTTCAGTTCGTAAAGTCTGGCCTCCAGTTATCCGAACCGTCTACATCCTACCGTGAAATCACCTTGAAACAGATTCATCTCGAGATTTCTTCGACTTTCCATCACCACCGCGACGACATTAAACAACCGACGCGTTCAAGACCCGACATGCCATTCTCCCACGAGCCTTTCCACGCTACTATCAACTGACTGGTGCTTCGTTGACACTTGATGACCATAGGGTAACTCTACTACAGGAAGGGTTTCACTTGGAGTTGTCAACAGAAGTTCCCGACGCGACATATGACAACGAGAACAAGGCCTTAATCGCTCTGAACCAAGTAATGGCATAAGAGCAAGAGATGGGACAACTACACGACTGTGTCTTTGTTCGAGTCCGGACCAGATGGTGAAGCAGTGGTGACCTTCAGCTCTTCCAAACACCCGTTGTCCAGCTTTACCAATCTGCTCTCGTTGGGCTTGCTTTCTATTTGTACGTCCTAACTCTTAGCTGATTGCAACAGCTCCATCCAGCGTCTGACGGCTCTACATCCCCTTCTCCGGCGCCGACCCAGACACCCGACCACATCTCGACCACCGAAACCCTTTTCCACATCCCGACCGACCGATCCTCCCTCTCCATAGAGGTACCTCAAGAATATGTCCCCTACAGCCCAAAGAACTCCATATCATCACTCCCCCGAATCGGCACCGAATGCCCAACCCCCCTCGCATACACCCCCACCAGCTTTCGCTCTCCCCACGTATACGTCGTATACCCACTCTGCGGCACGTTATCCTGCGTCGTATCCGGCTTCTGATAATCAAACCCCAACACGCCCGCCCACTGCTTGATCGTCTCATTATAATTATTCGCATTCAGCGTGGTATCCGCACTCCCATGGTATATCTCCATCTTGGGTCTCGCCCCCTCATAACCGGGATACATATCACGCACCACCTTCGCCCACACCTGGGGCGTTCCGTTGACTTGGCCATTAGCGCAACTACTATTCCACGCATTCGTCCCGCCTGCTTGCGAGTAGAAGCATCCGGCTGGAACACCACTGTACACAATCCCCGCCGCGAACAAAGCAGGATAAGTGGCGGCCATGACGTTGGTCATCATGGCGCCTGACGAGGAACCCGTCACAAACACCTTGGTGGCGTCGCCGTTGTAGGTCTTGAGGGTGTAGTCGACCATGTTGGCGATGGAGTTGCTGTTGCCGCCGCCGTTGTGCGTCAAGGTGGCACGTGAGGAGACGTCCCAGCAGGTGCCGGAGTAAGGGGATTCGGGGTAGATGACGATGAAACCCTTTTGATCGGCGAGGCGGGCGTAGGGCGAGTTGGTGTAGTAAGCTTGGGCGGTGCCGGTGCAGTAGTGGATGGCAACGATGATGGGTGGGGAGGCGGCAAGGTTGTCGGGGACGTAGATGTACATTTTGACGTTAGAGGGGTTGGAGCCGAAGTTGGAGACTTGACGGAGGGAAGCGGCGGGAGCGCGTTTGTAGTCGAGGGGGGTAGAGGGGGTGATGAGGTCGTCGAAGACGGGGTGGGCGGTGGTGAGGGTGGCCAGGAGGGCCGTGATGAGGGAGAGGAGCTTCATTTTGGTGTGCCCTGGTGGGGAGAAGGTGTTGAGAAGGGAGGGTGGTTGGAGAGTCGAGTGTCCTTGTCAGTGAGGGAGGATGGACAATGGTTTAAGAGAACGATTGCGCTTCAGCTACCCGCACCTTAGAGGTAGTCTGCTTTACTACGTCCGCGTGAATACAGCTGTGTCTTCGATAGTAGATGTAGGTACCTAGTAGCTTGGGGTCGTGCCATACTCCAATAGCCACGAGTTGACTTCCAATCGGGAAAAGTTGAGCTACCTCTAGACTTTATGCCGTTTACCCGCATTTATCCGGGGCGGACAAGCAGCGATCAGCGCTACCCCAGATTCCAGTCCCGGGGTAAGTACCACGAGGACCCAAGATTGAGGCGGATGTTTGCGCTCCAGTCGGCATGGATCGAGGCCAGTGATAGGAGGATTATCTTCGATTCAACTATCGTTGGAGGATTGGTGTACGCGCTCAAAACCCCGTGTAGGTACCTAACCATGCTGTGCAGTGTAGAGGTAGACTGTAGAGGCTCTTCTGCCATCGCGCGGGCTGATACATCCGATTTGCCGGGCGCAACACGGAAGATCGTGATCCGGCGTCCCGTTCCTGGCAGGGTTTTCTTACATCATAAATCCGACAGACGTTATATTGGCATCCGTGCTGATCTACCTACCTACTACCAGGTAACATCTTGACCTTCAAAGGATTGAACAACATCCAAGCAAAACAACAACAACAACAACCTAGAACTAAATCCAATAAACCCCCTTCCCCTGTCCCATCCCGCTTCCCCCAATCCCCTCCTTCCTCTCCTCTTCGTCTATCCTCTCATTACCCCCCCCTTCACCACCCCCGCCCCAATCCCTCTTTATACTCCCGTTCTCCATGTCCTCCCGACCTCTCGTCCTCCATCTAAATCCGACGATAGAGGTACCGCTCGACTCTCAACTCCCTGTCCATCACACAAATTCCAATTCAGCTTCACCTCCACGGACCTCAAAGTTGTAGCCTCCCTCTACACGCGATCATCAAACTCACGCTCCACGCGGGCGCGGTCAATGAAGGATTGAGCGCTACGGAGACGGGCGAGCCAGCCTTGTGTGAAGAAGTGGGCTAGACGGAGGTCGCCGACGGGTTCTAGTTGAGTCGCTTGGGTGTAGGCGGATTTTGGCGGTTGGGGGGTGGTGGTGGTGGTGGTGGATGAGGATATCTCTGGAGGTAAGGTTGCGTGCCCATGGGGATCGGGAGTATCGTCTGTGTTTGGATTGCCGCAGCGGGGATAAGGAGTGCTGGGGTTGAGGTTGGTTCTGGTGTTGGTGCTGGTGCTGGTGCTGTCGGGCAGGAAGTTGAGATCTTGGAGGAATTTGGGATCTGAGCGGACAGAAAGGTCAAGACCACTGTTCATGATACCAGTGCTCGATGAGATACCTCCAAGCACTGGTGGTGGGCATGGGCATTTGACAACGCCCTGCCGCCAGATGTTGACTGCTTCGAGAGAGTCCGGGGGTAGTGCTAGTGACGGTGAAGACGGCGGCGGTAAGCGTATCTCTAAACCATAAAGTACCTCTAGAGGCGCCGTCTTCTTCGCAGGCCCTTGAGGGTCTCCGTTCCATCGCAAGCGTGGGTCGATCCACCGCCTCCCTCTTTCACTTCCTCTTCTTACCACTTCCACTTTACGTGCACAAACTTCCACGTCATGTTCCTTCGGCACCCTGTTGTTATCAATCTCAGCCCACTTGATACCTTTCTCAGCATTCCTTCTGATCCAGTCTTTAACCCGACTTTCTTTCCCATCTCCCTTCATAGAGGTAACTCTCACCAGCCCCTTTCCCTCCTCCCCCTCCTCCACGACCGTCTTCCGATTCTGTAGCTCGAGCTCAGGCTCATCGTACAGAGGCTCGGGCAAGTCTCCCGAGCGTGGTTACTCCGGCCTATACTCCCCATAGTCATATCGAGAGGTACTCGCTGTACCACTCTCCTCGCGATAAGCACGTTGTCCCTCTCTCCACTCCTCCCCTCTTCGTCGTTCACTTTCTCTATCCATTTCGCGCTCGTATCCATCGCCGTATTCATCACTTGAAGTATCCTCAGCCGCATCTCGACGAAGCAGACCCCGATCTTCACCTGCTTCTTGAGCTTCTACTTGTTCTGTTGACCGGGTTGCTACAGGTGCTCCGTAACCACCATGATTCCCGTGATGAGAGCTGGAATAGGCAGGATAAGGAGAAGTGCTCATCGGTCTCTGCTTTACTACTGTACTCTCAAAGACAGAGGCAGACTGCGAGGGGCTGGAGGTGTGAGACTTGGAGAAGAAGGAGGGCATGGAGACGCGGTTGCTGGAGGCAGAAGTAGCTGGGATGGATGCGGAGGGGGAGGAGGAGGATTGTTCAAAGACGGAGCGCATGCGTTGGAAGAGGGAGCTGCCTCCTCCTCCTCCGGTGCTGCCGCTGCCGCTGCCTGATGTGACACGGTTCTGGCTGGAAGAGCGAGCACTCTCCCCTGAGAGCCTCACTTCCTCATTACGAGCAAGACTTGCTTCTCGCTGGTGCCACATTTCCATTACCTTTGGCGTTGACGCCCTGTTCGTTATATCATGCTCCTTGTCATGCGCTAGGCTGTCACCGTACCCGCCGCCGCTGTAATCAGTCCCTGCGTCGGTCAACGAACTGCCACCGCGCGGACGACCGATGTTGTCGCCGACGCTGTCCATGTCGCGGATCCGTGGGTCTTGACCTGAGGCAGGTCCTTCGACGGGGGAACTAGGACCGGAGGAAAGGGTACCTGTAGTCCCGCTACGAGCGGATTGAGGGGAGGAAGCAGTGGGAACGGTGCCAGAGGTGTCGGCTGTGGCGAAGGTGGCAGCGGTGTTGATGGTGTCGGAGCGCGAGGTGCGGTTAGTTACGTCGCGGGGGACGAGCTCTTCCTCTTCCTTGGGTTGCTGTTGGGTCTCGTGGGAGACATGGTCCTGGGCTAGGCCGGGAGGGGTGGTGGGGATGGATAAAGGGGGAAGGTCGTGAGGGTGAGCTGGAGTGACAGTCTCTCTGTCGCCAGCTTCAGGCTTCTCAGACTGGAAGGGTTGATCGAGAGGTGTTGATGGTCTGTTTTCATGATCATGGCGGTCGTCGTAGGTAGCACTCTCGGGGTTCGTCTCTTGGCTTTGCGCAGGCTCGGGGGGGTGATGAATCCCGACATGATCGTCATGGTAATCATGGAGCTCGGCTGTGTCGTCGGCAGGTTTGACCTCAGTGACTGGAGTTTCCAGAGCTGCTTCGACCTCAGCATCAATGTCAACATCAACGGAAGGATGAGCATGAGCAACGGCATCAGCAGCCGCACCAATCTCCTCCACATGTTCAGCTTGCTCGGGCTCGTCCTCATAATCCGACTCAGACAAGAACTGGTCTACCTCGCTCCAGTCCCTGCCCATGTCCTCCCCCCTTGTAACAGCATGCGGATGATAAGAAATGGAGAAAGTCTCCGAAGGGAACTCGCCGTTCTCGGTATCGCTAGGCTCTGTGAGTTGCAGGACCGGAGGCTCACATGGCTGTGACGGTTGGGCGTCGGCATTGTCGTGGTCGTGCAAGTGACCATCATCCGCAAGTGTCTCCGTCTCCTGGCCACCCAACCGGTAGCCATGACCAACTTGATCGTCAATAGCCACCGGCCCAGCAGGGGACTGTTCAGTATGATGCTCTTCTCGCTGAGGACCCTCCTCTCCATAATCACTCTCCTGAGCCTCCTCCTCACCAACACCCTCCAACTCCTCCGCCAAACTCTTCTCGGCCCTCGCCGCATGTTCATGGCTCAACACAGACGTCGGCTCCTCCACACTCAGAACCTTGTCAAGTGATCCTTCAACGTCGGGATGCTCCGCGGGAGTCGCATGCTCTTCAGTAATCGTCTTAGGGGACGAGTAGCGAAAGGGGTCATACTCGTTATCGTCTGAGTTAGCATGAGCTTGTTGGTCTTCGTCTACTTGGTGCTCATGCGAGGCATGTTCTTGTTGCGTTACAGGGTGGGCAGCCTTTAACTCAGGAGCTTCATCAAAAGCAGACTGCCCCTCAGAGGATCTCGTCTCAGGACCTTCTTCATCAATTTTTTTAAGGGCAGAATACTCCGTCGAGTCGCCGACATCAGTCTCCCCCATGCCTTCGGTCTCGTGTTGCTCACGGACGAAGGTGTGGGTATTCGGCTCCATGTCATAGCCGTGAACATCATCCGGTACTGACTCGACGGTATCCTGAGGGGCGACGAGACCTTCAGTTTTCGCTTCGGCATCAGCCACGGAATGGACAATACCGCTGGAGAAGAGTGTCACGTTGCTTGTTTCATCCACGGGGAGGTCGTGTTCACCGGACAAAGCAGCAGCAGCAGCGTCACCCTCATCATCATCAACATGACCTTCGGTTTGTTTCTCCGCCTCGGCAGCCATGTCACGGCGCTCCACACCATCGCCAAGCTCAGCTTCACCTTCGTCACACTCCTCTTCGGCAATCACATCAAGATGATGAGTCACGAGATCATCCCTACCCTCAAAGTCCTCACTTTCAGACTCGGACGACAAGGCTTCTTGGACACGGACGTCCTCCTGATGACTGTGATGCTCAGGACCAGGCTCCATATCGCGATGATGCATATCCCCAGATTGCTCAGCATGCTGACGCTCAGCAGTAGCAGGAAAGTCTTCCACATTCGGCCCGGGACTCTTTTGCTCTTCTGTAACATCCTGACGACTAGGGACGCGCTCGAGCTGATGGCTTATTTCATCATCATCGTCGTCTTCAGTGTCTTGGTCATCTCCTGGCCGATCTTCTCGCTGGTCATCAGCAGTCTTTACTCGAGTGTCAGGCTGCAAAGTAACGACCACCTCTGGCTGTCCATCCATGCTAGCGGCGTGTTCAACAGAATGAAAACTGGCCTCCAGCCCAGGAGTAGGAGCCAAGTCGCTAGGCGTATAAGGTCGCTCGTAGAGCTGATACCGAGGCTGGATATCTTCTTCCACTTCTTCACTGACATCGGGAACCTCGCGCTCGCGGTGTGCCTCCTCGTGTGCCTGTTCCTCTGCATGGTCGTGAGGAGCATACGAATCATCAGGATGCTCCTGGTGCTGATCGTAACGATGGAGAGGGGATTCAGCCGGGGTGTAATAGTCGTCGGTGCTGTGCGGGACGTGATGCTGGTTGACGAAGTAATGCGCTGGTTCATGATCGCCTTCTTCGATGGGGGTGTGGTGCATCTGCACTGGTTCGCTGTGGGTAAGGGCCACGCCAACGGCAAAAGGGATGTGGGAAGGGTCAGGGGGATGGTGGTCCATGTCGAGGATCTGTACTGGTGTATGACCCTCGTTTTGTCCACACTCGGCCAAGTCGTGTGGTTCGGGTCGACCTAGGCCCATTTCCTCTTGCTCCCTGACGAGCTCCTCAACCGGGACAGGCTCAGGCTCCGGCTCATCTTCATACTCAGGCCCATGACTAGGAGGATGCACTTCCACCCTAGTAACGCAGGGCTCAGCGACCCCTTCCGCACCCATAACCGGACCCTCCGCCTCTTCATACTTTTGCGCCTCCTCCTGATCATGTGCCGCACCCTGTCCTAAATCCACCTCACTGGCATACGGCTCCAACACCCCCCTCGCTCTCGTTGCCTCCTCCTGCAGTTCGAACCGCCCATCATGCGCCGGACCGACGGGGTCATCGACCAAACCTTGGAGGACTTCTTTTTCTATGACTTCCTTCTGCAGCGCTGCTTCTTCATCGACGCCCTGCTCCCGCTCTTCCTCTCCCTCATGCTCTTGTTCATGTTCATGCTGGTGCTCCCTCTCCCACTCCCTCTCAATCTCCGCAACAGCCAAATCAATACACCCCTGAGCCCTCTCCACAGAATGATGATCAAAATCTTGTTCATCGGGCTCAAGCAGGCCATCATCCAGGACATCCTCAATCTCATCCATCAGCACCTCCCCCTCCTTCTGCCCTTGCCCTTGCCCTTGCCCCATCACATGTTCTCCCTCCCCCTCCCTCTCCATGCCCTGCAACTGCACGTCCTCTCCAACCTGCCACTGCTCAGGAACGAAATCCGCATCATCATCTTCCTCCATCGCCTTGGCGGCCGTGGGAGAAATAGGAGATGTGGGCTCGTTGATGTCCGTGTAGGAACCGCGCTCGGAGGCAGTGGAGATGGATGAGTCCGCTTCTGCGTCTGCGTCTGCGTTGGAGGGGATGGTGAGGAGGGTGGGGACGGTGTCGATGTTATCTGGCTCGGGGAGATCAGTGTGGGAAGTTTCTTCTGGAGTTGGGTCCAAGTTTGAGGCTGAGGTTCGGTTGGTTTCGGTGTCAGTATTGGAAGAACCGGCATTAGCAGTGGCGGTGCCTGGAGGGTTGGTTGGTTGTGTAGGGGGGCCGGTGTCGGGAGAGTTCAAATTTGCATGATCTGCAGGGGCTTTGGTATCGGGAGGGTCGGTATGAGTGTCGATGCCATGGTCGGCTTGATGGTCAGCAGATGAGACCGAAAAACCAAGGGCAGCTTGTGTATAAGGCGTGTAATCAGAAGTTTCCGACTCCGGGCTCGAGCCTGTCCCTCGTCCAGCCTTATCTGTCTCTTCCCCTCTGGCCCTATGCCCGTCCTGTGCAGGGGCAGCAGGAGGATGAATAATCCCCAAACTATCATGCCTCCCCCGGGACTCTTCCGTAGTAGTCCGCTCGACAACAACAGGGGCAGTATCATTAGATCCGACGTGATGATGCCCAACCGGCAACCCACAATGATGCTCCCCGCCAGCATCCTTCTCCTCTTCTTCTTCTTGGTCGACCTCCGCGAACCCAAGCGAACGAAGGTTCCTGTCCATCGTATACTCAGAGAACGGAAGCCCTCGAAACTCCACGTCCACCAGACTTGTCTTGGTAGAGGTATCTGTGGTTTTCGTCTCAATCTCCACCTTTCGTTCTCGAATGGAATCAGACGGTTTGTCTCCCGGGACGGGCTCATCAGAAGTTTCTTCCGCAGCAGCTAAATCTCCAACAGATACGGTATCAGCAACGTCTTCCTCCATGTCTTCCTCCATGCCGACAGCGGCGGCGGAGAGAGTCCGGGCAACGGGAGAGGTAGGTCTCGAGGCAGCAACGGCTACGGGGGCAGCAACGCTAAGCTCGTCGGGTCTATTGAGCAGGTCGTCCATACTCATTGATGCCATCTTGTCTTTGAGTTGGGAGAGACCCGAACCGGTTTCCTCTCGGGCAAGTGGTTCCTCTTCTTCCTCTTCCTCTTCTTGCTCGCTTTCGCTGTCAGGAAGTTTGTAATATCTGTCAGAGTCGGGAGGAGCATTTTCGAAGGCTGCGGCGGGGAGGTAACCCCTTTCGTTGACATGTGTCTCGACTGGCTCCTCCTGGGCTTGAGATGTTTGCTCTGGTTCAAGCATCTGGGCGGCACTCGCCTTCCTCGCCTCTCGAATAGCTCTCGAGTTAAGCGGCAACGGAGTCTCCGTATGGACTTGTAGTTTTTCCTCAATCAACCGATTCAGTTCCTGTTTTGTTACTGCTCGTCAGCCATCATCTCCAGTCGTTTCACTCCATCAACTCCAACCCAGGAAAAGACCTACCTTCCTCCGTCCCTCCAACCCCCTCAACCTCCCCACCTCCTCCTCCCACCGTCTCTCCCACCCCTTTTTCATCTCCTCCATCAACTCCTCCGTCTCCCTCTCTACCTCCCCCCTCTCCTTTTCCAGCGTGCGCTCCCTCTCCTCATCCTCTTGCCTTAATCTCTCCTCCCACAGCTCATCCTCCTCCCTCCTTCGTCTCTGCAGCTCTGCATCCTCCGCCCTTCTCCTCTCTAGCATCTCCTCGCGCTCCACCCGCCGCTTCTGCGAGAGGAATTGTGTTTCGGCCGTGAAAGCATTAAGCAAAGAGCGAATGGCGGACTCCCGACGGGTGACGAGGTCGGTGATTTTTAGGCGTTCCTCGGGGGAAGCGATGGGGTAGGGATCACCGCCGCCGGCGCCGTGGTCGGGTGCGGAGGAGGGCGGCTGGAGGGTGATGATGGTGGTGTGGATTTGGGAAAGGGTTTCTTGCATTTGGATGAGGAGGGTGGGGAGGTCGTCTTTGTCGGTGATGACGACGGACGGGGGCGAGGCGAAGGATGCAGATGAGGAGGAGGGGGGTTGGGTTGTTGGAGAAGAAGTGGACGTCATGATGGTTGGGTTGTAGGGGGCTGGACGCCCGCTGGTGATTGTTGTCGGCTGCGTGGTGGGTGGTTTTTTTCTTTTCTCGTGGAACTGAATTGTATGGCGCTCGACTGGAGGGGATTTTGGGACTTGGTAGATGTCGTTCGTTCGTCGATGTAGCTTGGTTTGGTTGTCAAGGCTCGTCACGACACATGCTACCTGTAGGTGTGGTAGTCAACGCTGATGGATGGCCTAGTAGCCAGTTCAATTCGTTATTGCTGTCACCTGTAGTAAACATACAACATCGCCAACCTCGGAAACATGGATAGACAAAATGAGATAACGGAAGAATGGGGAACCCGAACATTGCGGCTGGCACCGAGCACCGGCGATAACGCCAAGCAGCAAGCACTCGAGCAGAAGGACAGCAACTGGACGTGGAAGACTCGAGTCGAGTCGAGCATCACCTCTCTCGAGACAGCGATACCCTGCCATAGTATCCTCCTCTTCGATCTCCTATCGATGCGTATTTGACGTTACCAATATTCACCTTCTTCTTTCTGTGTATAAGTATACACTTGTATATCAACCTCGAACAACACCACCCTACCAGGATGGCGAGGATGAGAAGAACAGCCAGAAGGGGATACCCCTCCAACAGCCATCTTCCCTCTCTCGACAACTGGACCGAGCTTCGATTGATCCTCGACTCGTAGTCATGTGGCACAAAGGCGTAGCACTCGCTATGTTCCTACACTACTCCCTACCAACTGCGTGCCACTTGCGCGAAACCCTTGAGTCTGATATCCATCGCCATATAGGATAGTGTGGCAACTGAATCGCAGTCGCGCGGTACTACTGTACTCCATGTCGACGGCGGTCGGACTCTACACAGTAGACGTAGATAGACAAGGGACCCAAACCCGGCCGGGAGGAGGCGTCCGTTCGCACTTTTATCGGAGCGCTTCGATCATCCAAGTGGAAGTACTGTTATGTACAATAACCGGACCGGACAGGACCGGCAATAGGACTCTTGGCCCCTCTTCTCTCTGCGCTTGATCGGTGCTTGACCCATGGCTCCGATAACCGCGTCTTCGGCAAGGCGCGTCTTGGGTAATACCTACAGGACTCGGCACCCGAAAAGCTTCCGTTTCGGTTGTTCTTAGGTTCTAGGTCGGGCCGCTGTTGACAATGTGACAATATCAAGTCTCGTCCTGTCGCGATACCGTCGTCGATAGTCGTCGTTCGTCGTCGTTCGTCGATGAGGAGGTGGGATGTGGGATGTTAATGTGACGACATGTTTCAGGGTTGTTACCTCTACCTTCACAGTAAAGTACACTAGGAGTGACACTTAGTCAGCGGCGGGCATTCGGTGTCAAGGCGGGGAAATCATGTTGGCATCTTGTTTATGCCCTAACTCAATCTAGCATTCCAGCTCCTTATTCCAGCGACAAACTGTTAGTGAACACTAAAACCCACCCCGCGCACTATGGCTTAGCTCCCTAGGACAGGGGTCCAAACACCCTAGTCAAGACCGTTGAACACTACAGAGGAATGCCTGCAAACGTCGTAGCGCTAGCGTCAAAGTGACGCGGAACCTGAAACTCCGAAAGTCCCAAGAAAGTTCCCCTTCACACTTCGGATGCAACATGTGAAGAGATGCCGAATGGCTTTTGCTATGCTGTCATGTTTCAATATGGCATCAAGATGAACATGATGAATGTTTACATTTGGGTAGACGGCTTGGGTTCAATTGGGGGAGGCTCACTTTTGGGAGTAACTGTGGTTGTCGCATTCCAATTGACACCCGGACCGCGCCGCCGACGCCATCACCTCGCTGATGTTGACGGATTGGATCCGGGGCCCTTCCTTGATGGGGAGTTTCAGTGCTAAATGTCCGAGAATAATGTGCACCTGTGGGATATTGTACAGTGTTAATGAAGAGCAATGATTATTTGGTAAAAAAAAAAAACGCCATGTAAATGCGGGGAAAAACAATCGCTATTTTATAAGGTAGAAGGAAGAGAGAAGCGACCCATAGGTATCTGATAGTAGAGGTAGCCAAAAGCCCAAGGCCAAGAAACATGATATGAATGACCGCTCCAAACCTCCTTCCCATTTGCCATATAGCTGGATATCCAAGAAACAGAAAAGAGACACCAAACATCCATCATCACCACCGTCACCGCCGTCACAATTTGCCTCCTTTTACTCCAAGCTTCAATAGCACAAGAAACACCACTCAAATCCTTGCCATTCCTCCCCTCTCCACCACTGCCCTCCTCTGCTTGTACTGCACAGCAAAGTTGTACCTGACAAACGTCCCGTAGCCGTACGCCGCGATGCCAATCGCCAGCCACACACTCGTAATCACCAGGCCAACCGGGAAAATCATAATCTGCACGCCCGGCAACACAAACGCCGTCGTGCCATTCTTGAGACGAGCAATCTCGTCTTCGACCGCCAGCTGGGCCCTGTTAAAATCCGACAGGACGACTTCCTTGCTGAAGACGCCCGCCACAAAAGCCGCTTCATTGGAGGAGATGTTGGTGGACACGGCGGCGCCTTGCGGGTTGACGCCGGAGAGGGTGACGATGGGGAGGAGGAGATGTTGGAGTTGGGCCCTGTTTTCAACTGTTAGTGAGCTGGAGGGTTAAAAATGGGGAAAGGGAGGAAGAAACGTACATGGTCATCTGACCAGTCATCTTGTCCGCATCAATCTTTCCCACCAACAAATACTGCTGTAGCAAAGTGGGATCACCATTTGACGGCAGATCCTGCACTATCGTCTGTCTCACGGCAAGTTTATTTGCCGCCTCGCCATCGCCGCTTCCTCCTACTCTTCCCACGGAAGCAGCACCAACCGCGCCCGAAGAAGGCGAAGCAGTCTCGGCCTGGCTAGAAGTAGAAGCAGCAGCCGCCGCCGCTGCTCCCTGCGAAGCTTGTGAAGCACCTGCCACAGGCTGATCAGGGTTCGCAGTCCTCACATTAGCCCCTGTAAACCGCAAGCCCACCGAAATCTTTTCCGGCGCGATCCCCGCGAAACTGTCTCTCGCATCACTGATTCTGAACAAGCGTAGATCCGCCTCAAACACGCCCGTCGAGTTGTCCAGCGCCGGCAGATTGTAGCATACGCATGTGCCCGACGGGTTACTCGCCTGTTTCAGCTGGCGGAGTGTGGAAATGCAGGCGGCGTTGACTTGGGCGTTCCAGGCCGTCATGTTGAGGGTGCCGTCGGCGGTGAAGATGGGGTCCTGCCCAACCGAGGAGGCGGACAGCTCTGCTTGTCGTTCTTCGAGAAAGCCCCGGCGCAGGAGGTAGGAGCCCATAATCTCTTCCATGCGTCGGTGGTAGGCGGGCGAGTCGCGCGTCATGCCTTCGACGATGAGGGCGCCGATGCCGGCTTGGACGGCGGGGGCCATCGCCAGGAGGGCGGCGAGGAGGGTTGTTGGTTGCCAGAGCATCATGGCGGTTGGGGTTGGGTATCGATATTAAGTGGTGGTGTAAATATTAGTTCCGCCCAGCAGAGTGTCCGAAGAGAAGGTGCTCGCGTGGTCCGGTTGCTCTCGTATTGACGGCCGACCCGAGTAATTCTGTTGATAGGTAGAGGCTGAATGATGGGTTGCTTCTGGGTTGGGCACCGTAGATCAGAGGCCAGCCCTACGTCCGTTATGGATGGGATTGTCGATCGGCGAGCACTAAAGTTGGTAAAAGATTGCAACTGAATGGAGGGACCAGCCCGGTTGGTGAAGAGAACGTCTACCTTCTCGATTGAGAAGCACGGGCGCCGCCGTGAGAATCGTATAATTAAAATGATGGTCACTCAAGAACAGGCAAGAAAGAGAAGATGGGAAATTACATCGGGTGAATTAGACAGAATTGGAAAGCAGCACGCGGTAACTAAAAATGAGGTGGCATGGTTGTCATGGGTTGGTAAGGGACTTTCGAGCCGGAGACGTCCAAACTCGCAATGTTCAATATGGGGTCATGGTCTGACCACTTGTCGGAGCCATGAGGGTAGGGGCCGGAGATGGAACAAGGAGGGGGCTGACGGGTTAGGCTTGAGGGATCCCAGAGGTAGCAGCCGACAATATAGGCCCAGGAACTACCATGGACGTGGTGTTGTTGCGAAGGGGCATCGCGTGGCATGGTGGTGGAGTGAGGAAGCATCGCCGTCCGGATGAGCCCCTGGACGCTCCAGGATCAAGTATGTCTGACATGACATGGCTGGGCGCAGTGAGCTCCAATGAGGTGGGATATCCCAAACTGTGAGCGGCTGAGCGCCAAAGGTATAAGTCGTTCTGGACCAATGATGTTCCTTCTTGAGACCCAAACCGAGACCACAGGAATCAAATGACAGCGTACAAAGGCCTTTGACCTTTTGAGATCAACACCGACATGAACAGAGGGAGAACAGGGGTCAGACAAGGCGATTGTTCGATATGGGTCGAGAACAAATCAACAAGAGGGACATTGCTCCGTGTAACGTAGCTCTCGGTTGAATTGAATCTGACCAGGGGCAGGGCAGCGCTGCTCATGTCCATGATCACATGGAGTCCCAGGAGGGAAAGAAAACAAGACCAAAAAGTCAAAGACAATGTTGCAGCAAAGACCCAAACGTCCAAGACCTTGGGGGGCCGGGCCGGTGTCGTGAGAGGGGTCCGTGGGGTTTCTTGAGGCGCAATGTGTTGCATCATGACGCCGCCCGTTGGGATCCGGATGACTACCAGATCGATGCTGGCGGAACAAGGGACTGTCCGTTTTTGGTGATGAAAAAGGCCATGGACTTGTCGTTGGTTGTTTCAAAGACTGGAAGAAGAAGCGACAAGGTCGGATCCCATGATAATCGGGGTTGCTGTCACCATCACACAACGAACAGACAGCATCTGAGTCGGGAGGTGAGGTCGTGAGTCGAGCAAGGGGGAAGAGAGAGGCGGGGAAATCTGGATCGCAAATCCGTCAGCCGCCTGAATCTGAAACAGTGCAAGAGAACTTGACTTCAGTCCTCGGCAGAAAAAAAGGTCCGAGCGCTTACGGCGGAACAACGTGAAGCCACCATGGCGCCACAAACAAGCCACGGCTGGCAGGCAGCTGCTGGCGGGGCGGTGTGGATCAGCAGCCGTCACCCGGCCACAACGGACGGATCTCGAGACATCAATCGAAGTGGAACGAAGCAAGAGATGTCGAAAATGCTCAAGTCAGCGAGGAATGAATGGCGGGAAGTAATGAATACAGTCAACCCTCTGATTCCGTCCCATTCTTGTGAAGCATATTCATGCCGGGCATACATAAATGTAGGTGCTGCTTTGCCCGAGTTGTACTATGTACCTTGTACCTTGGTGTCACAAACCGGCAATCCCCCATCCGTGCAACCGCCCACGCAAAAACCTGCATCAAGTTACAGCGCTTCCCGCGATCGACGGTCGCCATTCAGCGGGAAGCTCCATTGCCTAAATTAGCTTGGAAGTTCGGGCGCTTACCTACACCACCTCGACAATCAACGGGCATCCTGTCCAACGATCTCCCGCCCATCCTATTCCCTACCTCGGGCATGTACTAGTATAGTGTAGCTATTTTATTGTCATCTCAACATTCCCATTAAGCCGCCAGATTCCCGCCTGCACATTTTTTGCGATCGAATGGACCAAACCACCACACCATCTCGGCGGTGCTGTACATTGGTTGCCATGAAGGGGGTGTAGCACTTGACGCCAGGAGTGTATGCGGCTGATTCCAAACATCAACGACAGAACAATTCTGTGAAAATGGCTGCGATCTCTAAGTTACTGACGCATTTTCATTTACACTTCTGGCAGCAAAGCCTTCTCTTTTTCTGTTCTCTCTTTTTTTTCCCCCTTCCTCTGAGAGCTATCTTTGAAAGTCGGTGTTGTCGTTTGTTGAGAACAAACAACATCAGCCACACCAGATATCCGCTCATTCAGATACTTCCATCCCGATTCCCTTTTCAAGAAACAAACCCCCAATCTCGTCCCCCAATCTCGTTCGTTATTAATCAGAAAGCCCAACCTTACAGCTCCGTCAATCTCCTCCCCCCACCCATCAAGCGCAAACTGAGATAGCCCAGCTCCTGATCCTGTTGAACGTTTGCCATTCCTGCGTCATTGTCACTACCTTTCACCCATTCCGTGCATTTTCCGAGCACTTGCATCACACATTCCTGATCACTCATGTTGATGACTCTCTTGACCATGTCATTGGTGTTTTTAAGCCGCGAGTACGCTAGTTGTCTTGTTGACGATTTGGTAGGGATTGCGATGATGAGGGAGGCGTTGTCCTTGCAGAGCCCGATGGGGGAGGTTGAGAGTATCACTTGATATGCTGAGCTGGTGAGTACCTTCTTTGGTTCTGTGGAGGCACGGGGTGCCTGCCGTCGGCGTCCCTGAGATGGGCCGAGACGGACTGTCTAGATCGACCCGGTCAAGATCCTCAACATGCGGATGGCTTCGTCTTTGACGCGGCGCGGGTCAACCCTCCAGTTGCGGATAGCGGCGATGAAAAACATTTTGAGTCAAGCCTTTTGGCATGTAGCTGATGAAGTGTTTGACGTCTTGGTTAGTTGAGATCCACTGGATGCTCTGCTGAAATGATGGTTTCTGGTGAGCTGACGGTGCGAATGTTGTGTTCGAGGAAGATTGTGAAGGATCGTGAACAGGAACAAGTTCCAGGCTACCAAAGCCCCAAGATGTCGGTATACTCACGGGCAGCCATCGTGAAGGGTTGCGTCATCGTCTCAGATACTATCGTGAGTTGGTAAAACCCCCACCATTGCCTCCGATCTGTCGTCTTTGCTTCCTTCGGGATGAAGGTTATCCACCAAGTGAACCTATCGTGATCCATTTCAGCGAGTTGATATGCCTCGAAAGTGCTGCCAAGAGGTTTCTTATCTGTGTTGAACACCTTGGCGGCCAGCTTTCGGTGCCGACGGTCAACCTGGAGAAGAGACGAAAGGAAGATGAGGGGTGGCACACTTGAGGCATCCGCTCATCGTTGACAGGACTCACTCAGTGCGGATTGCTCATGTGACAATGTGCTCAGTCACCGACAACAAGGCACGCGAAGGATCTAATCAGACCACTTTTCTCAGCCCTATGAGATCCGTATGAATTGCTGATCGTGGTTTGGAGTCATGGAATGTTCTGTGTCAAAAGATGGCGGTCAAGAGATTGTCTATGTGGTGGATGTCGCGGGCTGTGTTGGGGTTTCCATAATGTCCGATGGAGACAATGACGGATGGTCAACACGGACCAGGTGCTGGTGCCTGCGGCATCAACCAATGGATAAGCGCAGAACAAATTAAAGTTATCGCCAATGCCAGGAACAGCCAGCAAATAGTGGGGCTTCTCGGAGGGTTTCGGCAAGTAAGTGCGAACAACGAATGCATCCCGAACTTTCAGATTTGGCAACAACAACAATTCCATGTTCCTTTGCAATGGAGAAGGAGCTGCCAAGGAACTGAATGATGACTGGACACAACATCTGGTCCTTCCAAGTTGAGTTGAGATGCCCAAGAACACTTGGTTAGTTTAGGCAGCTACCTCGACGTATTTCGCAGTTGCCATCTCAATCGCAATCAATGTGCAATCCATCGATTTCCATCTCCTCGTCTGCTCTTCATTCATCTATTTTCGGTCTGTTTCCATTCTTGTCGCATTTCGCATTGGCAGCTTCACTGTGGCGGATGGGTCTTCAAGGTTGCTGATCGGAACAAATGGGAAAACAGCGACCGCGCGGTTCTCGCTGCCATGAGAACGCGAGCTCGCTGTTGACTCAGGGGGTTTCGTTCCGTTGCTCCGAAACCTCCCGACTTTCATCTGCCAAATGTCAGGGTAGACAAACCACCACCAACTTGACTACCCTGCAATCTCTCAGAAGTCGAGACGGAATGCCAAAGGCTCAGCACTCCATGATCATGTGTACCAACATCGCCAACCGTCTCTGCTTCTTTCACAAGAAATCACCCTGACGCTCAACATCACATGGCTCAGCCCTTTCGCGACATCGAAATCATGCCAAGGTCTGAGGCTGAAAACAGACAACGCCCAAATGACGATGATCGCCATGCGAGCTTGTCGTCGTCCCGGCACATTCACATGGGTCCTCCCTTTCCCTCCTCCACCCGTTCCACTCCTTCCATAGCACTCCCGAACATCCCGAGTTCCCACTTCAAGCCAGTTGTCAAGTGTCAAATGCTGTTGCTCGCTGACGCCTTCACAAGCTTCCACCAATCGACTTTCACATGTTTTAGCGAGCCCGGACTTCTGGAAACCACCCAGTCACCACTCCCCGAGACACACCAAGATTGTTGACTGTTGATTGTCGGAGGAGATAACCAAGTGGCGGTAGACCAAGGCAGGGAGGCCTGGATCACACTCGCTACTGTGACCCAGACCTCGACGCTGTCACAGCCTTGGTTGCCTTGGCACGTATCAACATACTCTTCGACCGCCGCCAACACCGATGACCCCTCCCAGATCTTGGAGCATGTTTCCCGGAATAAACCATCTGATAGGGCTAAGGGATGTCGTCTCTAGGCGACACCGGGCAAGGGCCTTCATTGGCGGTATCAGAGGAAATACAGCACTTTAACCGTTCATCTCGTCCTTTCGGGTTTCCACATGCGACCCAGTCTTCATGAATCATATCCCACCCCGGCCTCTTTTCGTTCCCATACACCCTCCGTCACGGCGATCCTCGGCTGTGTCCTATTTTCGTCATAGCTCCATCGCGTCGCGATTCACATTCAGGTGAATATGGATCTTCAGGGTGTTGGAGCTGTTGTCCAGTGTTTCGGCCCATGGCTCATCTGTATAAAGCTTGTTGCACATCTTCTCCCCTACCTCGCCATGTCCCTTGAGAGCTTGATAGAGTGAGACGTCATCTCGAACACAGTCATTCGTTCTTCTGTCGGAAATTCACAGCATCCGCAACCATGGCTCATCGTCTTCCAGACTGCTCCAAGCTGCGGCTCTTCAGCAAGAGCGTGTCTGTTGGCTCGTCCTTCTTCACGCCCGCGCCTCTTGTCGGCTACGCTGCTCTTCGCCATCCTCGTGCCATCTCGACAAGCAACACCTCCAAGAAGCCGGCTGTCGCCATCCCTACCGGCCCCGTCTCTCCTCTCGTTCCCGCAACTCATGTTGGTACTTCTTCGGCTTCGACTTCGGAGGTTAGGGATGGAAATGCCTTTGCCACTCTGCCGCTCACATGGCCCCACGACGGTTGGAAAGAAAACGTTCTCTTGAATGTGGTTCCCAGCCATCGCGAGCCGAGGACTTTCGGTGACTGGGTGGCCTGGAAGATTGTCCGCACATGCAGGTTTGTTGAACGTCCAAAAGTTCTGGTCGCTCATTGCTAACCAATGCTCCCCAGATTCTGGATGGATCTCGTCACAGGCATGCGTCCTGAGCAGCAGGTTGACTCCAAGAATCCCACAACGGCTTTAGCTGCCAGCAAGCCCCTGACTGAGCGCCAATGGGTAGGTTCATCCCCCGACTAGTTGACCCCGTGTTATGCTAACGATAGCAGCTCGTCCGCTTCATCTTCCTCGAGTCAATTGCTGGTGTTCCTGGCATGGTTGCCGGGGGCTTGCGCCACCTTCAGTCCATTCGCCGTTTCCAGCCTGACCAGGGCTGGATCAAGTCTCTTCTCGAGGAGTCCTACAATGAGAGAATGCACCTCCTCACCTTTCTCGAGATGTACAAGCCCGGCTGGTTCATGAGACTCGTCGTACTCGGTGCTCAGGGTGTCTTCTACAACGCCATGTTCATCTCGTACCTCCTCTCTCCCAAGATTTGCCACCGCTTCGTCGGCTACCTCGAGGAAGAGGCCGTTCACACTTACACCCGCTGCTTGCTTGAACTTGACCATGGCTGCCTCAAGAGGTGGTCTGACCCCAACTTCCGCATCCCTGACATTGCTGTTCGCTACTGGAACATGCCCGAGGGCCACAGGACCATGAAGGACCTCATTCTCTACGTTAGAGTAAGTTTCGTCAGCACTTCTGCAAGCTCGTTCTATGCTAACATATTACAGGCTGACGAGGCTTCCCACCGTGGCGTCAACCACACATTTGGCAACCTCGACCAGGTCACTGACCCCAACCCCTTCATGGAGTGCCCCGGTGGTGGAGTCGTCAAGGCCTTCCCCAAGCACCTCTCCGTTACAAGGCCGGCTGGTCTGGAGCGTGAAGAGGTTGTCAGCAAGGAGACCCACTAAACACCCAGCGCCACAAATGAAGATATCTTGTTGAAGCCACAAGGCAACGCACAACTGTCCCTTCTTCCTCGGCTTGGAGAGGACTCAGTGGACCACCAGCCCCTGTATTTCCTTGTTCCTTCCATCCGGGACCTGGTGGAGTAAGAAGACACTCTCTCAGGATATGCCCAGGTCTTCTTACTGCTGCTCGATTACGGATTACGGCCACAGACTGGCCCCATTTTGTTAATGTCTTTCTCTTTATTTTATTTTCTTCTTCTCCTTTGGGTCTAAGATGGAGTTTGGCGATCAATCACGCAATTACGCGAGCATTTACATTTCTTTGGTTTTCACACTTTGGTTTGGGGAAGCTCGGATGCTTCGGATAGACTGAAAGATGGACAGGGGGGCATTTTGGATAGAGCGCCCCCTTTTTTTGGGCAGCTGTGGTTCTAAATACATATGTTGGGTTAGACTCCACTGCAAATAGACTGGACATGATTCATTGCCATGTTACACGCGGACCCCCTATCTTGGTGCAGCACTACCTCTACGTACCCTGCTTATCACAGTAATCGGACGCCGTCACAACTTGATAATTGGTGACGAGCATGTCCACTTTGTATACATCTGCCATTGCAACAGGATACCGAACGTTCCACCAACTGAAGAACAGTGGAGTTTGATAAGCACAAGAGGAGTGGAAAGTTGACGTCATTGATTTGGGGGTATGGTCTTGATGTTAACAAGTCTTATCGACTGTCTCCTACCTACACTGGTGTTTGTGCCGCCGGCTGCTCTCCGGGATACCAAGCCAAGCCACCGAGCCATCAACCAGGCCCATATCCCACAGATAATACCCCGATCACTGGTGCCGTCACTACCTACCTACCTACCCATTTACCATGCCTTCTTTGCTTCAGGACCAAGATGAGCCTCTGCTTTCTGCTTTCTGCCCTTCATCCCCAAAGCCTCAAAGCCCTAAAGCCCCAAACACCAACGCGCTCCCTTAGCTCCCCAACCTTCGTATTTTGATCCGTCTTTATCCGGCCAGTCTCTCTCCTCTTCAATCGCATTCCGTCTCAACCACCTTCGGACATTCTTCACAACTTTTCTGGTCGAAGCTACCTACCTAGACTTTCACTAACTCTAGAGTCTAGACGTGACCCAAGAGGTAGGTATCTGCGCGAAACAAATTGACGATGCCTGGACGGGTTGAGGTAGGAAGAATCCGGGAGGATATCTACAGCGCATACAACCTGGAAGGCGAAACGGAATGCGAAATATAGGTACCTAACCTAAGAAAGCGAACAGAGATGCCATGGGTGCCGTAGGTGCTGAGTGAGGTTAAGAGAGAAGAGTATACTCTTCGGACCACTCTTCGTATGGCCGGATATGGAATATACGAAGTGGAAGGATTGGAGCATTTCATTCGTTCTCAACGAACGGGAGCTCCGAGTTGGTGAAGATCACGATGAGGTACCTTCGGCTTCAATATACCCGGAAGTACGTCCAGATTTGTTTTCGTGGTGGACGCGTTGGAACTTGAATTATCATGAATACAATACAATTGGGAGTTGGGGTTTAGGAGTTGCTGAATGCTGATGGGCAGTTGGGAGTTGGGACCTCGTAGTCTTGGGAGCAAAGGGACCAGGAACGGTTAGGACGGTAACAGACTGTTGGGCGATTTCCATCAACCGTGCTGGGCGGTGTTGATGATGGGCTGGCATTGATGGCTGTGGGAGCACGATCGACATGTATAAACGCCGCTGCTACAAGACTTTGGCCGTGAGCAGCAATTGCTGCCTGGAACACATGTTTGGGGGTGTTCGGTGGTTGTGGTTGTGATGCTCAATGTTCCACAGACGCCCGACTTTGTGCTTTCAGCGTGGTGTCCTGCCACCAGCACGGCTGGAGGTCCAGAGTTTTGAGCACTGGGAAGTTTCGCCAGCAGAGCGAGTCAAAGGAGCCCTTTGTGCTTGAGAAATCGTAGTGGAATCTCACGGAGAGATGAGAGTTTTCAGGCAGGTGATTTCGGCCTCGAGGCTCGCGACCGATTGCGTTGGTTCCATCCTTGTTGTGTTTATCGAGATCTTGGTGCTGAATCACGGCTACCTCTAGCTTTGTAATGGCCTGGACCATGTAGTTTAACGCAGGTACGGCCTCTTGAATGTGTAACTCCTGGGGATAGTTCCGAATGATATGGTCCCATGGACGTCGCAATTGCTTTGGCGAAGGATGGCCTATTAGGAACAAATTTCATTGCAGGAGCTTCGAGGTCGCCAACGACACGATCGATTTTCTCAGAGAGGGCGCGCACGCTCTCCTCAACCTTGGAGACGCAGAGACGAATCACCGCGACATCGCCACGGAGGACGGAGAGGTCCGTGGAGGAGTCGACAGAGACGGAGGCGGCAAGTTTTCTCTTCTTCATGGGGGACTCGACGGCAGTGGCCGAATCGAAGGCCAGGTGACACGGGGTTTCCCCCGTTGGCACCCTGTCTTGGGGAAGGAAGCAGCCTCCCATTTGGGAAGCGTCAACCTTCCAGAGTCAAGCTATAAAAGCTTGACGGAGAGACAGAGAGACTTAGTTAGAGAGAGCATGAGAATCAACACACATCATCATATGCTTGCTACGCGGATCCCACGCATCACCAGGAGCTCACCAACCGAGGACGAATCGGCATCGCCACGATTAACAGTAGCAGGGTCGGCGGCCGAGACCTAGGCAGCAGCTGCATCCTGCACATTGTCGAGGAGAGAGTCGAGGTTGTCGGCACCCTTGCTCGGATCGAAGTCGCGAAGCGCGTGGCGGACTCGACAAAAGAACGAACCAAGCCCAGCATGTCCCCGCTGGGGTACTCATCAGTTTTCTTCGCAGCCTTACATTGCAGGAGCTGGGAAAGAAGCAGGGGCGCGAACTGGTTCAAGCTGCCTTGAAACTGGGATGAGACCTTGGAGCTTGGGCCGCGGCGGCGGTTGGTCGGGTCGGCTGCCCGTCACGTATAGAACGAGAGTTCGGTGAGGGCGGTGGGTGTCATGTACCATGTGTCGTGAAAGGGGAAGTCGTAGTTTCCGCCTTCATAAGTAGTTTTTATCGACTGAAGTCGGCGGTGTCGAATGAATCGCGGTCGATTTACCTACGTAATACTCACCCCGCCGCGTTCATGTTTGTCTGGCGGTTGGCGGTGCCTCCGAGAAGGGATGTTGCGAACTGGGAGACCTTTGAGGGAGGAAACTGTCTGCTTGAAGATATACCATTAGCATGGTCTGATCTTTGCCTGATACACCACTCGTCATCCAAATCATATCAGGTCGATAACGGATTATTTCGAGAGATTAATGGCGAAGTGTTTCGTCTGAAGTACCTAGCTTCTCACCGATCTCAGCATAGCAGATCTTGTTTGCAGGAACTCAAAACGCTCGAGCTCGAGGCTTGTTGCTTGACGTTGAGAGATGAAGGCACCTCCCAAATTGATGGGGGGCTGGGCTCTTCACCCTGGCATTCATGATGCTACCAGCGACGAAGGAGGAATGGTATGGTATCTCAACTTCCCCCCCCCCCCCCCCCCCCCCCTTCACGTTTCCAGGCATGGACACGCAGCCGACAAAAGGGGACCATACGTTAATGGTTTCCTACTCGTTCCTGGCAGAAAATACGGAAGCGAAACTCTGCTGTGCCCTCTGCAGGCAGCAAGAGCAAGAAAATGCGTTCCTGGAAGAGAAGATTAGCAGAAAAAAAAGGAGACAAGGGGAGGAGCGGGTTCGTACGACATGCCAAAAGCCTGAATGAAGAGTCCCAGGATCCTCTCCTTCTTGGCACGTAGCGTACCCAGATCATTAGGGAGAACCATGTTGTTATTCCATAGAGGGATGAACACTCCGCTGCGCCTGCCGAACAGCACGATGACCTTACCCATCGTCCGACATACCGCCTCAGTCGTCATTACCTCTACACTTCCCAGGTATGTTCTATCCCAGTCTCTTTATTCCCTCAAGTTGCTCTGACCCTGATGTCTATACCTTTGCAGGCAGAAAGGAGGGCAAGCTTTAGAAGTTCCTCAGCTCTCTTGGCGCCCACATGGATGAGTGGTTTTTCTCGGCCTCAGATGCAGTTGTTGTGAGGACCGCCGTGGTAATGTGTGGTAAGAACCTCATTGAGCTGACTGCTTCAGGCTTGCACATTGATTTCCAGCCGCGCTAGACTTGTGACTGCCTCTACTGCAAGGGGAGTCATAAGGAATGACTGACACAGAAGGAATCAGTCAATCAGGGAAGGAGTCACTTTGAAGGATAAGTCAGTTGGCTGTTTGAGAGTCCGGTTGGGCACGAGAGGATGTGTGTATAAACCTACCTAGGACCCCAGCATTTAAAAGAATGGAAAAGACTCAAGCATCTCTTGCCGCTCATCGGGCCCTACCGACCTACCTAGAACCTACTAGGTCCCTACCGTTGCGAGACGTGTGAGATTTCGTTTAGCTTCGCCGGAAAATTGGGAAAGCACCGAGAGATTGCCGACCACATATCCAAAGAAAATGGGAAATACATCCCGCCCAAGACACAAGATGGCGAGTTAACGTGGTGGTGTGATTTGTGCGACATTGGGTGGGTGGATGAGTACGGTATCATCCGGAGAAGCAAAGGTTCGTCCAGAGGAACGATTGTTCCCTTCACTCAACATTACCGGCCCGCCAATATCCACCCCGAGTTTTCGTTACAGTACACTACCCTTCACCTTCAAGTGCGCTCCGTTATATAGAACCCTGTTTCTCCGTTTGTTCATACTTCCCTTCTTTCCATAACCCAACACCAGGAGACGCGGGTAGATCTACCACCACTCCTCATTCTTCGCTACCGCCAACTTCTTCAATACTGCTTCAGGCAAATCACCAAGAATCTCCTACAAACAATACCTGAGCATCCAGGGCAGTCATCGTCAACAATCCAGCAAGATGAACCAACAAACCCCTTCTCAGAGCACCTCGCCTGCCGCTCCCTCCTCTCCGGCAATGACATTGGCGTCGCCTGACCTGCTTCTTTGCCAGACGTTCTACGGAACCAAGGATCCCGTCGTCTTTGACCGCGACGCCGACACAGTTATTCTGGTTGGAGACACCTCGTCTGGCGTCGTTGAACCCCCTCAACGCCTCTTCCAGATCCGCTCTTGCCATCTGTTCCTCAACTCCTCATTGTACAAGCGCCTCTTCAGCGAGAGTTGCATCAACAACATCCCTCGCAGCGGAGATCACTTGAGGCACTTCAAGATCACCCTTTGCGACGTCGATCCCGAGGCCCTCTTTTTGCTACTCCGCGCCTGCCACACCGGCAACGTGTCAATCCGCCCGTCGACGCCAAACATTCTCGACCTCGTGTTCCGAATTGCAAAGACGGCACACGATTTGGAGTTCGACATCGGCATTGCGGATCCATCTTCCGACACAGCCACGCTGTCGCAGGCTGCGCAAGGATGGCTTTCGGAACAAAGGGACGATCTTGATGTCGACGAAGACAATCTGGTAGTCCGATGGAAGTTGATCAAGGCTGCTTTCTACTTCAGCCAACTGGATATCTTCATGCAGCTGAGCGTTGACTTGGTCAGGAGGCTGCCGGAGCACTTCTGGGTGCGTCTGGCAGGTGAAACCCACCGCGACTTCAATATGCACAGCCAGGACCAGTTGTCGAGGGAGGAGATGACCATCGTTGGTAAGTCCAACCCTCTTATCCACTCCCCTCTTCCTTCGTTCCCTTCCACGAGCGCCAGCAACAACTAACACTAGAGGTAAACAGATGACCTAGACAACTTTCCCTCCCCAGCCGTCCGCCTCCTCTTCCTCTTCTACCACATCCTCTACCGCGACGCACCCTTCCCACCTTTCCGTGCTCCACTCCCTTCCGCCTCTCAGCTTCCAACCAGAATCACGCGGAACTGGTCTGACCAGACCAGAGCCACGTGGGACGCCCGAGTACAAGAGTCCTCGGTCTGCACTTGCGACTGGCTTCCGCAGTACTATGAGGCCTGGATGAGAGGTCTGGAACTACACTGTTTGGACCTATTTACGGAAGTCTTCGCGGGGGACGAGAGTCGTTGCATAAGTCGACTCTTCAAGACTATAGCATGGGCACTTCGGCGTGGTGTGATAGCTAAGCCGTGGGATGGTTGCGAGGAGGGGGGGGAGCCGGAGTGTAATTTGGCTGGTGGACGGGAGGGGCATGAGGAGAAGGCGAGGGAGTTGGTGGAAGACTTGAAGGATTGTTTGGTTGATTGGAGGGCGAATATCGAGAGGGATCCGGTTGAGGAATCTGATGTGGAAGACTCCGACGATGAGGATTCCGGCAGGCACCCCGGCGCTGAGAGGTACTCCGGAATCAGATACCACGAGGTTGAGGGTCGAAGGGCCGAGTACCCCCACCCCGTGTACTCACTCCCGCGTGAGAACATCAACTTTGAGCCACCCGACTTTCAGGACCGCGACATCGAGGACTTTCAGCTACCATGAGGATTCCGACCAAGATGTAGGAGAGCCACTGGACAGTCGTCAAGAAAGAGTTGGGTGGTGACGAGGTGAAGTTGGCGATTGACCTTGGGGAGAAAATCCCAGACAAACGCCTTGTTTGACAAGGAACAAAGGCCCTCTTCACGCCTTGGCACCGTCTGGGAGAGGCGTCACTTCTGATGTGGCAAACTTCGCTCGAGAAGCACGATATTCAAGATACAGCCCAGCTGGCGGACACCGCGGCAGACTCGGCAGCCACCACACCAAGTCCAGCAAAGACCCCGCTGCTTCTCCAGCTCTCCAGCCTTTGAAGTCAATCTAAATTAGAGATGGACAACACCGACTTTTCAAAGACCGTTGGAACAGAGTCTTCGAAGTTTTTACTCCCCCAGGACAGACATTGCGGCCTTGACAACCTCAGCGGCGGCGGTAGCGGCTTCTCCCGCGGCAGCGGTGGTGGTTTCAGCAGAAATTGGAACAAAAGACGGAAGCTGGCAACATCATGAAAATCGACAAGATCCAATTGGGTGTCCATCCCTTTGATTCAGCCATGCAGTACAGCATCACCACTTCTCGACTCAGCTGAGCACTCTTCAGCCACATCGAACTCTTCAACCCCACTTCTCTTTCTTTTGAACAACCGGCAACACCAGCGCTTGAATACAGGTGTACTCCTTGTCCAACTCCAAATTCTATACTGGGGACAGGGGGTGGGGGATACCGGAGTAAATAGAACAGCTTGGGCCGGACAACACGGTCCCAACGTTCAGGCGAAACCCCCACAGATGGGAGGCAGCGCAACTTTTCAGCAGCTGCAGAGATCATTTCATGTTACATGGAAACAAGAAAACTCACACAAAAGGAGAGAATCTGTTGCTGGAGGCGAGGAGGTATTTTGCTTATGTATGTCTAGACCTTTGACCATGGAGGGAAGAGGTAGAGCTTGACATAGAGAAACCAAGAAGCAAAGAAGGGAAATGGAACCTACCTCTAGGCATTTGCTCCAGCCAGTCGAAGCACTTTCAATCTTCCTGCGCTTGTTCCGGTCCATAGTACCCGTCATTGTCGTTTACTGTCTCTTTGAGCCTCTCGTTTTCCCATTCAGCGTTTGTAATCATCTCCTGTGTCCCGTCTTGACAATGGCAGCAGCATTCGCGATCTTGGCCGCGTCGATGTCCATGTCGTCAAGGCACAACTCGCCAAACTCAACTCGATGGGCCTCTTGGTGTTCTCGGCCAGCTGGAGAGAAGTCGTGGAGCTCGTGTCAGGGGGATGATGTTCTGGGCTCGGACATTGCAGCGTGCATGATCTCAGGAGGCAATAATGCATGGACTCGAAGTTGTAGCAGAGGCGGCGGTGCAAGAGCAAGAAAAGAGCACGGTAGATAGAGGTAGAGGTAGTAGGCATGAAGGAGAGGAAATGTCATCCCGCTGTACCCTACCTAGGTACCTAGCCATAAACAGAGGATGTATTGGATTTCATGAATGCGTGGAGTATTATGGTAGATGATAATTTGATAGATGAAGCGGAGGGAACATGAAGTAAAGATGTCGTCTCCTCAATCCCGGTTTTGGACCAGATTCTGCAGCGCTTGATTCATCCGCACGTCTCCGGCGCCGAAGGTCCAGCCGGCTTTGCATGCTTGTGTGTGGACGCAAGCGGATTTGTACAGCAGAAGCACGGCGGGTTTGCTGCAACTCGCGATGCATTTGGATCAAGGAGTTGATGCGCCTGTTCAAGGTGAAGTTGAACTTGGGTCGCCAAAACGCATCGCTGATATGCACTTTGAAAGCGCTGTAACGCCCACCACGAACTCCTTCAGCCTGATGAAGACATTCAAACTTTTGCAAAGGTACAGGCTGGGTTCGCTTATTTGAAGAGACTCCAAGGCGTTGAGAGAACAAGTTATACGACAATGAAGAGACTTTGTTGGTGAAATCAGTTGAGATGATGTTGATTTTGAAGGTTTTGAGGCTCTGTCACGAGAGTGAGCGGGAAAGAGAGAGTGGGGTTCCACCGATGGCACTTAGATGGTTCATTATCTGCGCCCGCAGGAACTTGGCCCAAGGTGCGATAGTGAGGTAACAGCGCTGCATCCTGTATGGTACTTGCCTGTTTTGCCGGTTCCACCAGCTTACGACGTCGGCGCCACTTTTGACTTCATGGAACTGACGGTCCTCTTCCTTCCAAATCATGTTGATGGTGACGGCGACAGCGACAATGACAATCAACAGACGACATCACCGTGCTAAGCAGAACAAAACAAAATGAAGATCAAGCGCTGAGCACCGACTTTTGAGCAACACCCCAACGTTATAACACAATGCAGATGTATCGCGCATTCCATGACACACCCCATCACCAGGGCAGACACTAACAATCACGCGTTCAGAATGGAACACATTTTGTTTTATCGTTTTTTTTTTTTTTGTTCTTTTCTATCACTATATACAAACCACCACCACCACCACCCATCCAGCTCCGCCGACGGACTCCCCAGCTCCATCCCCGGATGCCCAGGACGTACCCGGACAGTCCAGCGACGGAGATCGTGTTCCTAGAAAGTCCTCCGACGGAACTGGATAATTGATAAATCTTCCTGCTCCTTGTCATTCAGGAGCAAACGCTGCTGGAACCGTTAAGTTCGCGCTCTCTCAGCAGAGCCTCCGGCTCCCTCTTACAGGTGTGGACAAGGACGTGCACATTGGTGTGCTCAGGGCTGCGCCGTTCTCCCCCCGGATCGGAGCGGGGGGCACCGCCGACAATGTCGGGAATAATTTTGACGTTCTGGACATGGCCAGTAGTCTCGAAAATCTGTCTCAAGACGTCCTCGATGACGACCCTAGGGTCAAGGCCGCCAACGTAGAGAGCGCGCTTGTTCGGCTCGGGGGCGGCGCCCCGGCCGAAGCCAGATCACAGAGGGACGATGAGAACCCATGCTCGAGTTGCCGATGAACCCGTGTCGGCTCAAGTTGCTGATGACAAGGCGACCGATGACGTCCCGCGGATGAAGGTAGCCCCTGCTGCGACGGTCGAGGTGTACTACGCAAGTAGGGCGAAGACTGATCCCACCGAGGGTGAGGCGAGGAGAGTCGCCGCAGTTGTAGCACTTGGAGCCGTTGACGCAGTCACCTATGGAACTGTGGTTAGCTTCCGTTGATTGGAGAGAAATGGAAGACATCAGGTGAACTCACGAGATTGGACTCGTTGCGAGGGAGTCGGCGGCCGATGACAAGGTCGTTGACGAACTCCAGCGAGCGGTTTCCTCTGTTGCTGCACCTCCAGAATCCCAACTGGAACATGTGAGCTGACGATCAAGAAGTGAGATGACATATGACATGAACCTACTGGTATGCTTTTGTGGCTACAGGAGGGACCATTGTAGCGTCCCCGTCGGTGGTCCCAGTCACGGGCCTGATGGGTACTGGGCCACTGTTGATGGTCAGTAGAGGTACAAGAGTTGAAGGCAAGGTGAAGACGACCGAAACATAAAATATTACTTACCCGACGGGACGCCGTACGGCGTTGGGGTTCGGTGTAGGGAAGATTCTTGTCAAGCCATGGTACTGATGACCTTAGGAACGAGACGTTAGTCGACATAAGACGATGGAGAAGTGAGACCATGAAAATGGATGAACGAGGATCAAAATGACAGCGAGGAAAGTCTTGATCGGCCTGGTTCAAGATCAAAAGAAGGGAAAAGAAGACGAAGAGCAGTATACGTACATCTTGAGGCTGTGGCCTTTCCCTCGCGGGTGCTTTGGCTTCAGCCATGGGAGGCTGCCCCCCTAGGGCAGGTCGGGGGAGGTTTGTGTTGGTGAAATATGAATCAAGAGAAAAAGAAAAGAAGAGGGAGAAAGGAAGAGGGGAGAGTTTAAAAGGCTGTGACCTGTGGGAGAAAAGAAAAGAAGAGTGTGTGGGGTTGCTAGGAGGGCAAATCAGGGTGGAGCCCTGCCTGCAGGACTGCATGAAGGAAGAAGTGACTTTGGTACTTCTGGTGTCACCTGGCTGTGCGAGATGGCCGGAGCAAACCAGATGACGCCAGCCCTAGTTTTGATCAGACGATTTGAGGACTTCTGTCTTGATCGACTGCACAGTATGCCTTCATGGGGGTACGAGAACTGGCTTGGGATGATCAAGGCGAGCAAGTTGTGGAAAAGTTGTTTGCTTTCGAGATAGGACGACAAGAAAGAGGCAGGCCAGACCATTTCCTTGAGATATACCGAGGTGAGGATCGAATTTGAAGGAATCCAAAAGCCTTGCTGTTCAGACGTGTCGAGCCTCCCAGCCTCAAGGGCCCCTTTGTGGGTCTGTGACACGCCCCAACACCGGGAGTAACTGGGGGATTATCCCTGTTGAGGCTGAGTTTGTTTTCATTTGAAGGAAGACAGATGTGGTAGGGAATTCACGGTTGATTCTGAAGCTACCTACACTGAATACAGCCTCTCAATTTGTTGACCGCGGGCTATTCCACTCGTAGAGGCAGCGCTTGATAATGTGACTTCCAGTTGTAGCGAGAATGTCGATTCGGTCGCAGAGGTACATCTAGTATCGGGTAACTGCGTGGGGGTGAGAGAGCAGGGATGGGGTCAGATACTAGAACGGTCGCCAGCGAGTTTACTGAGCACTCGTAATCGGTGGCAGCAACCTTGTTCCTGAACAGTGACCCTTCAGGTTACTTCTATCTTGTCCACCTCGTCCCTGTCGTCAAACTTTGACCTTGATCCAAGCGCGAAGTGCTACCTGCGACAAGGCATTTTGAACAACTCAAGAAAGCTCCTCCAAGACAACAACAAGCAAGACTCCACTTCGCATACCAGCCTCGCCATCATGAAGATCTTGACTTTTCTTTTCTTTGCGGACGTTGTCCAAATCTCCACTTGGGACAGAGCCTTGCAAGCGGTTCTGGAACTCAATACCTCTACGATTCTCCAAACCTTGCGGATCCGCCGCGACCGCTTCTCAGCAAGCACAAGACAGCGCAACCTTGTAACCACGCGCCACCTTCACGAAGCCCTTTCTGAAGTCTCCAAGGAGTCTTCTCTTCTCAGAGCAATCCAGATCGCGAGGGACTCCCAAAAGCGCAGTACTTCCATGTCCGACAAACTCCACGACCAAGAGACTCGCTGATCACCTCGCGAGCCGGGCAACTTCCTCTTCAGCCCCACTTCAAGGTAAGCCGGGAACCTTCAAAAACCCTGGCAACTTTGTTGTCTGTTGCGCATATTGTGCCCTTTCTGTCTGGTTCTTAAAGCAAAAATTCAGCGACCAGAAAAAGACAAGCGGACAAGCACGATCGCGACCCTGTGGCCACACATTGTCAATCAGAGGTACCTACCTCTATAGGAACGAACTTCATGACTAACCCCCTTGTGTTCTAGTGTTGCTAGAGATTCCTCGCCGGGATATCGGGCGTATTATGTCGCTGAAGATCTACCTACCTCTGACGATGGAAGAGACGTGCAAGACGAAGGCAGGCTGGCTCAAACACGAAGCGTTTGTGACGGATAACAGCAGCAACAAGGGCTCGAGGGAAGAAGAAGCGCTCGACGATTTGGCAAGACTCAAGGACATTACACATGGGATGATGGACATGAGGTCAATCAGTGGTACATTTGGGCATGGTCAATGGGAGCAGTTTGGCACGGATGACTGGAAGAATGGCTTTGTTCGAAGTAGAGTTGGTCGGCAATGGAGAGTCAAAGGAGATTTCGGCAAGGGCGCCAACAAAGGACAAGACGCATTTGCAAAAAAACATGGAAATAAAGGAAATACTTGGCATTTGGATGAATTAGCAACTCAGAAGAGTCCATAAAACGTATCCGCGTAGTGATCAAAAATTTCGTGGTGTCGTACTGACCGAGTGTCCTGGGTGACTTGGGCTGGCCTGCCCCGCACCGTCGCGGGCCATGGACTGATATCGCGCACACATTTTCTCGAGTTTTCTCGCCGCATACAGTAAGGACATGCACTTTCAGAAGTAAGTAGTTCATTTTGGTTAGACTTTTGCTTCATGGATGGAGGTAGTGGTTGAGTGTCCCAGGCGAGACCACTCCCACTTCATGGACAATGACTTCCAAGCAGCTATCAAATCAGGTCTGAAACTCGATCGCTCGTCTATGGTATCCAGGTTATAGCAGATTGAAAGAGTGATATACACGCAGGAGTTCGTGATTCTTGACCGAATTTACAGGGCAGGTTTCCATCAAGAAAAAGCAATCAGAAGAAGAAGGAACTTTCAAATCTTGAAAAACATTATCGACACACACAGGGTGTATACATGGTTGATCTATGCTGTCTTGATATCCTGGTATACCAAGAGACAACAAAACGCTGCTTGTGGTGGTGATGATCGAGTGTCTGCGGAGGGTCCCGCGCCACCCTCGGCGATTTGGGTGCTGCATTTTTTCGCATTCTGAACGCACAGTTTGGAACCAAACGTGAGAAGGCTTTAGAGATACGTGAAGTTCTCTATAGAGAGCCCTGAAGAGTTGTATATCTCGTTTTCGTGGTGTTATGCACGCTTTCTAACGAGCTGGAAGCCTGGCGTCGCGGTCGCAGTTGGCCATGAAGGACTACCGCTTTCTCGCATTTTCGCACGAAGAATGCCCTGGGCAGTTATAACAAGAAAAAGGGAAGACAATGGCTTTGGCCTCAGTTGCATAGAGCGCGCTGTTTTCAATGTCTAGCACTCCGGTTAGGGTTTCTGTTCCGGCATGAAGTTCAAATGATCGATCACGATGCCGTTCGCGATCGCTTCTTGACTGTCAAGTGGGCCCCATGAAACGAACACGAGAAGTCACGGCAGCGTAGGTAGATCGTCGAACAGTGTAGCGGCTGGCTCGCAAATTTCAATTCATCCACTTCCACTTCTCATTTCCGCATGCACTCTTTGGCAATCCCGTAGACCCAAGCAAGGTCCTGGCCAGCCTGGTGATCATCTTCCACTGCTCCTTCCAGATGCCACATCTCAACAAACATCAAATTGCTCTCAGATATCTCCCACAACTGCATAGCCTGTCTCAGTAACTCGTCACCCCATGTTCTTACCCAGGGCAGGTACTCCCCTGGGTGATCCTCTTTTCATCTCCTTCCCCTCACTTCTAGGCTCCCCTCCCCACCTCAGGTACATCGGTACTTCGTCTCGATCAGCTCTCTCGCCCTCCTGCCATCTCATCGGTCCCGAGCGGACACAAGAATCCACTCTGGCTACCGCTACTTCCACTGTGAGCTGTGGCATCGTCCTGTTTGTAGCCTGATTTTGACGGAGCACAATCTCCGAGGATGTGAGGAGGTTTGAAATGAATATGACTGTGATTCCCGAGGATAACCGCGTCGAAGTGTCAAACGCAAAGGCCGGGGTCTCAAGTGGTGCGGACTTGGTTAGTTCCTTGCGTCGTCCTTCTGTCGGAGAAATGAAAACCGTCATCCTCTATGGGATGGGATCTGATCTCCCTGTGGGACCATTTGTTATCCCGGATACAATTTGGACGAGAGGAGGAAGGGACGAATGGGCAGCACACAACCCTTCATGTAGCAAGCAAACTTCTCTCCACGGCGTTATAAACTGACTCCACGACTGGCTGCCAAACACAAGCTTCTTGATAAGAACCGCATCTTGGGGCGAAATACGGTTCCCGGTGTCATCCAAGCTGTGAGAGCTTCAGTACCTCTACAGAGAAAACCAATACAAACCCATTCCATCCCAGAACCCAAAAACACCTTGACTGCCTCGCAGACTCGAAGCAGCCTGGAATATGTACCTTGCCAACCCAGACCGGTGGGGTACTCAGCAGAAGTCACCCGTTTGGTTATGAGGAGGGGTTGAGGAAGAAAATAACGGGATGAGCTGTCCTTCTTCTATTGTCGAGCTCCTTCCATCGACTCACCCATCCCTTTCTGAGATCTGATTCGACAAACGGGATGGCATTATCTGCATGGTCTCCATCTCGATGCTATTGAGATTCCCGTGTGACGTATTCTATGCCGTCTGGAAGTCAAAAAGATCGAACGATGGGAGTCTGGACTGCAGTACGTAACCTAAGTACCAGTGCCCAGCCTCCTTCCTCCGCCGTGATTGCCTGATAAAGCCCCAGGGCTATTGACTCATCGACAGTTGATTGGTTTTGATGAGTCAAGAACCTCGATAGCCTCTTGCCTCGTCTTGTCTGAGTGACGTAGCTCGTCTGCTTCGCAATCTTAATCTCGGCTCAACAGAGCTCCCCCGCCGGTCCTGCCTGTGGGTCGGAGAGTTTTGTGCATGTCCCAGTCGGCTATTACGCTGTGCCTTCCACCAAATCCCCGCCCCAAGAACCCCTCAAATCTCGGGACGATTCTTTTCCTCGCAGTTCACATTTGGGACGCAGAGTTGAGAACATTTGTGGCTTGCTTTCTCGTCCCATCTTCGTCGTTTCGCTTTCTTTCCCCTGACGCACAGCTCTGTGGCTCAACAGACGGTTTCTCTGTTGAGCTGTGGGGCAAGTGGTCCTCCCAGAGGGCTATAAGAACCCCCCTCCCCTCCTCTCTTTTCCTCCTTCAACTTCTTCCCCCATTCAACTTTCTTCCCACGACAATTTTCTTTTCGCTCAAGCTTCTCGGCTGTGTCTTCGCGGGCCCTCAAGGCATAGCCACGCACAAATCATCGCCTTCATTGTCATCAATAGTAAGTTGACCATTTCTTCTTTCACCAACACACAACTATTTCCCCTATGATGATGGCACTCAACCGTTACCGAGTACATCTCGGCGGTTCTCATGGCCTCGCACCTAGCTCGTGAAGCTAGTGTGTGGAAGGCATGAAGATACACCTTGCCATCGCGGGGCTTCGGCCTTCCCACAGTGCCTTTCCCATGTCCTCACTTCACCTTGCCGTCACTACACTCGACATCTCTCCAAACTGTCACTCCAAGTTTTCTTTTTTGCGCAAATAACGCGCTATGTCTTGCTTTTCACCCCCTCCCTTGTTGTCACTTCACTGGGACCGCATGGCATTCTGAGAGGAACACACTTACATTTTTTTTTTCCTAGCGCTCTACATGACTTCAGTCTGCTAACAGCTCGAGATGTACAGCTACCGGTCAAGGACATGAGCATCGGCTCCATCAGCCCTGGGAAGTACAAGGCACCAGGTATGGCATACTCGATCATTTCACCTTGTGTCTACCACCACTAACCTATGTCACAGAACAATCACTCCAGCTGTGTCGGGGCACGTTGCACGTCGCTGCTGCCCCTTGACTCACTGCGCGAGTTCGAGGCCGTTCGTCGGTCATCTTCATGTTCTCAGGCTTGATCAGTTCACGTTCACCCGCCGGCCTTCATCACTCTGGCTCACCGAACTGAGCCTTCGCACATTTCACACAACAGAAGACTGGACATATGCTTTCTCTCTCAGCTCATCTCCTGGCAATGTCACAACTTGCAAATCATCAAGAATCAGCTGTGAATCCACCATAGCATCCGCCTCAGCAGCACCCACAGCACCATCATATCACTGCTCACGGTTCCGACCATGGACAAAATCTCCATCACATCTTCGGCCAAGAAAAAACAATCATCAGACCTTTCCAATGAGCCAGATGGAGTCCTCGGTCTTCTTTCAGTTCAAGTTCAACAGCCCACCGGTGTGGAATTTGACAGAACTGGCATCTCCCCGTCTTCATCTTCTTCACGGAGGCGATCGCGCTTCGATGGCACACCTTCTTTCTCAGTGAACCACGGAAAGTGGGCTAAGATCATTCACAAGCCACAGCCTTCTCGGCCATACACCAAACCAGAGCGCTTCTGTGTATGCAGCAAAGGCCTGCCCAGTCACTGGTTCAACCCACATTATGCCAGACTGCCGTGGACTTGCCGAAAGAGGAGCGGAGGAGACAGAATATGAGGGTCGTTTTCAAAAGTCACAACCAGCCGCAAGTCTCTCTTCCATCAGACATCAGCTCTTCCCATCACGTCTTGTATCCCCACCGTCTTCGAGAACCACGTCCCGGGCATGACGTTAAACTGCCTACAGTGGTCATTTCCAGAGACCACCAAGTCCACCATCCAAGGACACTGCAACCACCACAACAACAACCGCACCCCGCATCAACAGCCTACCCAACAGCCGTCCGGTCCACCAGGGCCTCATCCCAACCCGTGGATTTCGCAGACAACCCCTGAGGAATCTACTCAGCATTCTTCCTCTGCCCAGCCGCAAGCTCAAGGCCCGAAACTTCTGGCCCCTTTCATCAGGGGGTCAGCAAGTGGGCAGCCTCTGCGAGCTGGGCTTGGGACCGCGACGGCTGTGACTCCGGTCCACCAGGCACCCATGCCAGTTTCGGTGTCTTGACTTCATCAGTCGACACTGATCCGATCCATCCTCACCACATCACACTCAACTTGCGAATGTGGTCGCCCAGCCTGCGAGCTTAAGGCTCCCAAGCAGCTCTCCAATCAACTTGGGTAAGAGTCTGCGGGCAGCGACCGCAGGCTGGGCTTGGGACCGGAGGTGGGCATTTCGATGTTGTTTTGTGGTGGTTGTATTTGCCGATCCAGGGGCGTTGCCCGTGTGATTGTCGTCCCGGCGACATTGGGGTGCCCGCTTGATTGGGTGGCCGGTGTATTGCGTGCAAGAGGAAGAGGGGGCGCGATCCACGATGCGGAATTGTGGAATATGCATGGTGGAGGGGGTGGGGGCCGACAAAATCGTTAAGAATTGGAAGAAGGGAGGAGAGGGGGGAAGGGGAGAAGTTCGAGGGGGAGGGCAAGGGGAGAGGGGGAGGAGAAGTTCGAGGGGGGAGGGCGAGGAGGAAGAGGAGAAGCATGGGGTCTGTGTGTGTGGTGGGCGTGGTAGTGGTGGTGTTGGATATGCCTTTCATTTTCGTGGTTTGCTTTGCGGGCGGTAGCATGGCTCCTTCGCTGCTCCCCAAGCGGTGGGTGAATTTGTCTGAGTAATGTAGCGGGGGTGCGGACGACGGAATGTCTGCTGTCCGGGCCCTGAAGTACCTTCAAGACAAGGGGCGTACAAGATACTTCAGGGCCCGGACACCCCATTTGTCTCCTTTTTGGATAGGTGGTTTGGTCATTTGGTTGCGAACTTGGGTTGAACATTTGGTTGGGAATTTGGGTTGATCATTTGGTTGGGAATTTGGGTTGGTCATTTGACTGGGGGTGTTCTGTCGAGAGGTGCTTTGGATATGCGTTTTGGATATTGGGTTGAACATATGGCTGGACATTTGGTTGAGCATTTGGTTGGAGATTTGGGTGGACAAGTGCTTTAGATGTGTGCTTTGGACAGCAGCGTTGGTTAGGGGCTTTGGATGAATGTTTTGGATAGAAGGCATAGCGTGGTTGCATTGATGGCGTTGTGGTTTTGCTTGGGAAAGACGGTTTCGGCGGTGGCATAGTATGGAGTTGGATGGCCTTGGACATGGACTTTGGATATGGGCCTTGGAATGGTAGCATTATGGCAGCATAGTTTGACATTTAATCGTTTGGATACTTTCCTTGTGCCTCATCATTCGTGTGATGACCATGTCATGTGTCTTTCACTTGGCGACTGTCTGTGGTGGCACTAATCCGTGTGGTGTTTGCTAGAGGTATCCTGTGCCGGATTGTGTTTGAGCTTTCCACAAATCTTGACGATGACGGCTCTCGATCGCTGGACTGGTATTACCTATGTTTTGGCTCAGTCCTGATGATTCGTTGAAAGCACACAGATTCAAGGTCAGAGGATGTCTCCTTTGTTCGAACTGTTGGTTTGGTACAACGGTGCCTCCGCCTCGACGAGAATAAGGCCAGGCTGCTACCATAATATGAAACTGTAGTTGCACTGGGGTCCCGTGCGAGGAGCGGGCAGTGCAGACGGGATGGCACCATTGGTACTACCCTCCAAGCTGGAAGCCTGGAATGGCGATGTTCCCTCCACCTAGGTAGGGGTTTTGATGGAAAGGCTTGAAGAGTTGAGGAAATAACAGAGTAACTGAATTGAACGGAAGGAAGGCGGGAATGGGATAACGGGGAAGTAACCGATTACTGGGGGGAGTTTCACTTTGGGCGAGGCAATGAGAAGCAGGGAATCAAGATGAGAGTTGGAAAATGAAATATGGGTGTACAGATCTGATGAAGGGACCCGAAGGAAACGTACTTGGTGAACGCTCACTTGGGAGATGAACCTTTCGTAGATAGGTACCTAGCGGTACTTTACTCACCACATCATTTGAACTTGATATCTCTCGTGTTAAAACATTCGCGATCTTGGCTTACTACATAGTCGCACTTGCGGCATAATTGACTTGCACATCAGGGTCAGTGAGGCACAAGAACCAACATCTCACACCTGCCGCTGGCCGACCGACCGTTCACCACCGTCCAATCCATTACTGCCATCCAGACATTTCCAGAATAAACCGAGAAGCTTGTATCGTTCAGGTTGCTTTTGCTGAGCCTCCCACAAGTCTCCTCTATATCGATATGATGTGGCCTTCGTTCAGCAGATACCCTCGCCAAGCGGTCACCGCCCCCATTGTTTCCAACATGTACTCGCTTCCTCACCAGGATGCAGTGGAACACCATAATTGCCGACCAGCATACATAGCCAGGCATTGCAGGCAACGACAAAGCAAAAGTATTGAATAGAGTAGTTCTAGTGAGGAGCTACAGGACCAGCAAAAGTGCGACACTACCGCGACTTTGCAGGTTATTGACAAGCATGAACTGACTCCCGCCCCCTCTTCTCATACATCGAGTGTTACATCGATAAAGATCAATGCATGTACCCTAACGTATTTTGAGAAGGTGACGATATCATTCCGGATGGCACTAGAGGCCCTGACATCAATCCTTTCACCGTCGCAATATAAGGTAGCATCACTAGCTACCTTTAGGTAGGTAGGTAGTGCTCGCATCTGCATCAAAGTACAAGGGAGTCCCGAAGGAACTAACGAACAATGCTTGTCGAGAAAAAAATGAGGAAGCCAATCGGCGTGATGCGGAAGGATTGTAAGAACAGATCATGTGTTTATGCGGCGCGGTTTGTCGGCATTGGCACTTGCCTGTCGAGAGGACCTGAATTGAATATCAGGTTCCTGATGTCTTTTTGGAAGTTTGGGGCGGTTGAATTTCGATCAACGCAGTCTCTGTGAAAGAGAGCGAAGAAAAAGCGACATAAATTCTGCGCTGTCTTCCGGTATCTGGCTCGGTGGCTTTGAGGATGTACTTTGTGGGGGTCGAATACTTTTTACGGCCATTGGATCTGGTGCCGAGTACTCGTCTCTTTGTGCGCCGCTGCGTGTTCCGGTAGCTACAGCTTCTGATGCCGTCAGGAATCAACGTTCGCACTGCTCTTCTTGTCAGTCGTTTAGCAGTCCTAATCCCTGTCGCCAATCGCCAAGGGTTCGGTTCTTGACTGCCTTTTCAAGCGTTGTCTAGGCGGGCCTGTCCACTTGGCCGCCTTCCTCCCGTTCGGTCCAGACAGCTTGGCCCGCCATGGCTCAGCTTTCCAGAAACGGTCGGGTTGTAACGAGGCACGTGCGAGGAGACCCTCCAGGCCCTGATGAGCGGGCTGGCGACGGACTGACAGATGCTATGCTGCATAATGTCACTGTACATACATACATCCTCCTTGTTGTAATGGAGTGTCGATCTCGACAGCTGGGTCGGGCAGATCTTCTGGGTCCCGAGTTCTGTGTCAGTCGTGATGCGGCTGTCGAGCTGGAGAGGTGGTACGGCGTAGACATATGAATCCTTTGATCCAATTTTATCCGAGACTGTTTGTCGAAGGGGAAGTCGGTGGTTCGTGATACGGGTCCTGTGCTGGTTGGTGTGTAACCGGTCTTGGGGAATCTAGTAGAGGGATGTTGGCTACATAGGTAGGTAGCATCCGGGGAGGTGTGATTTGCGGCAAGGAACTTACAGGAGGAATGCTTCCGTCGTCCAACATTCCCGTGCCGGAAATCTCGAAGACAACCCGCGGCCGATTTGTTGTTGGGTACGAACCAGGTTTCCCATGTTGATGGTTGTGGATGGGAGGCATGTCGGGTGGGTCGCAGAAAAGGGTGACCTCTAGAGAGGCGGGAGAGGAGGCGGGAGGTCTGTGGTGCACTAACAGCTGCTAACAATTTCGTGGCGGAGTTGGTTGCACATGGGACCGCTGTTTTTCGCTTAGGCATGTTCTGGACCCGCTTGGCTCCCCGCATTCCACTTCTTCACAGGGGGGGGGGCAGCTCACTTCACCACAACTTTGGGTTTGTTAGTACTACACTACTAGGTAGCTTGCGGAGGAGTAGGGGTTGTTGCTAGGGACCTGCACAAGTGCCCAAGAGGCCGGGCATCCGAACTGGGAAAGTGGAAGCTCGCTCGTCCTTTGTCTGAGCTCTCCGTCCTGGGACCTCTTAAACTCGAGCATTCCCCCCCCCCCCCCTCCATCCGTGGGTTTGCATACTTACCTACCACTCCACTCCACTCCATCACTGCGACACCATCTGTCCGTCATTCTTTGCTCTGCTTACATCCGTCGTCAGCAGAGTTCCTGTCAGCTTCCACCAGTACTTTTGTCTGACAGGCCGCCGCTGTTCTTTGCCCTCGTCCTCTGTCACTCGTCGTCCAACAAGAGCTCTCCCAGAATCATCACTTGGACGAGTTAGCGTCTTAAAAGCCGTGCTTACGCACCTAGCTAAAGAAAACAAGCACACTGTCAAATCATCGCCAAATCAACACCATCCACAACCAAAATACCATGGGCTGCCTACGCCTCTTCCGCCGCCTCAGCCGGCGCTCCTCCCAAGAAGACGACGCTCTCCTCAACTCCCAACATGGCCGCGGTCCGCGCCCCTACCGCGATCATGAGCACAAGCCTAAACACAAACACACTCCCTCGGAAGACTCGTCCTTCTCCACCGACTTTGTTGAAGAAGAAAAGGCGTCGTACAGAGGCAGATCGCGGACCAGCCACGGCTGTGCCGCTGTTCCCGTCATCCGCCCCAACGTCAACCCCGCTCGCTCAGCTTACGCGACGCCCGAGGTCTACCGGTATGGAGGCGCGGGGCCCAGAGAAGATGACAGGGCACCGAGGAGACCTGCGAATGCGGAAGAGAAGGAGACGGGTGTGAATGATGCTGAGGAGCAGGAGAGGATGGATTTTTTGCAGATGATGTGATGTCACCACGTCTCTGCGGATGGGGTATTTCTTTTTCTTCTGTAACATTTTCTTTGTATCACGACATTTGATGATCGGGTTTGGCCTGGGAACACAAGGACGGATGATGATGGGCTTGGGGAGTTCACGGCGGCGTTTGGGGCGCATATCAAAAGGGCATCATCGTCATGGCCGATTATGATTTGGGTCTGTCTGGCTTGTTGGTTTGGGAGTTTACATTTCATGTTACCTCCATGTTACGATTACTACTACACCTGCTAGAGAGGTACCTTTTTATTTCTCATTTTCAAAAGCACTGGACGGCGAGATAAATCAGAAAGACCGGGAGACTTGTCGATACATCGGATTCACGACAGCTTCCTCATTTTCTCTATTTACACTGTCATGAGTTTCCATTACCAAACTTTGTCTCGCGTACCTGAATTTCGCGAGAATTTGCATCGATGTCTCACTTGTTTTGATTTTCTTTAGTGCATTGAATGATCTCTCGGCAGCACAGGCAATAAGGTATGATGAAAGCAGCGTAAACACTGTGACCTAGAACATCACTAACACACAACACAGCCCCACCAGCATTGCGCATTGATTGGGTAGGTTGCTGGGCATCCAAGACATGAGAGCTACAACGAGTCAAGGACGAATTTCCCTCATTCCAGTGACCAAATGACACATTTTGTCCTTGACAACCAGTTTCATCATGGACATCGAGTACTATGCATGCCTCTTCAGCTTGGATTGATGAAATTGTTGTTACTGCGTCATTCATGAAGTTTTTTGACGTTTTCAGCATGGAAGAAGCCGCATGCAGCATTGGCGTCATTGGGCACGCATATCTTGCCTCCCCGGCCAAAATATCGCCGATTGGAATCAAATTTCATCAACATCGACGTCATGGGCCGAGTCAGAGAAAAAAAAAGCCGGGCGGGCGCGACCATCCATCCATCCATTCCCGGCCAACACAGGCCTCAGAGCGCCGAACGTCAAAGCAAGCCACAAAAGCCTCCAAAAGTCTCGAAGCCACTGAGTGACTGGCCCAATGTTTTGGAATCGATTCATTGAGACTCGACTCGACTCGGCTCGATATTAATTGCATTGCCACGCTGGCATTGAAAGTCGGCATTAAATTGGGCTGGCTGGCTGACAGCGACAGCGATGAGAAAGATGCGATGAACTTGTGCCTGCCCACGAAACGAAACGAAAAACGAAGGATTGGTGTCCAGTCCCTTGGCAGGACGAGTCGTCATTGCAGGGAATACCTCTAATCAATAATCATCACAGGCATCATGGTGCAAAAAGAAAAGAGATGAACGCCTATCAGGGTTTATTGCTTATCATCAGTGCCGAAAGCAGCGAAAGAGTAAAAAAAAAAAAAAAAACCTTAATCGTCCAGCCCGACTCGATAGTGGCAAAAAAACAGATGAAAAAAAACGCGTGGCTTTTCTCTTGGGAGCTGTACTTGGTAGTTGGTACGCCTCAGCACGGCAGTTGATCCATTGTCCCGGCCGGCCGTGACGGGATCAGCGGGCGGGCGGGCGGGCGATCAATCAATCAATTCAATCAACCACAATCACACCGGGCAGGCAGGGATTCCCGTCTTCAGCTCTTCAATTCCTCCCACCGAACTGCAGGTAAACATAGGTTGTTACACTAACAACATCCATCACCGTGATGCTGCAGCAATCTCCAAACCTCTTCACGTGCCCAACCACTGCAGTAATCTAATCTCACAACCTAACCGCTTCTTCCCCCTTTCGGCCTCCTTTCAAGCTTTCGCTTAGCTTTACAATGTTCATGTGTTCAGGGAAGACATTACCATTCTTCAGCGGTTGGCTAGGGAATGTTTGCCGAATGGTTTAGCGAACAGTTAAGTCTGGCCTAGGCCAAGTAGAGCCCTGCAGTTTGCGGGGACCCTTGGTGGTGAGTGGTGACATTGGGCCAGGGGGGGGGAGGGGGGGCCTGGCAATGGAAGTCTGGATTGGTCCATTTGTTGGTTTGTTTGTTGTGATGGTGTGCATCGATGCATGCATTCAAATGGTGCGGTTCTTCCCATGCAAATGTTTCAATTGAGACACGGCGAGACACATTCAGAACCTCAAAAGCTACCTTACTTGGAGGCATGTACCAACAACATCTCCTCGCCCGGACACCACCCCCCAGCCTCCGTCCCTGATCACCGACATCCAATCGACATCGACCCCGACCCCGACACCGACCCCGAACCCACACCCTAACTGACGGCTTTCGCGGCCCGGCGCCTTGGCAATGAGCGGGAAGCTAAAAGATAAAAACTCCGGACTATGAATTGAAAGTGGAAAAGTCGATGGGGAATTCTCCCATCAGGGCGGAGACCATGGCATGAGTTTGGAATTGATCGGTGAGATCGGTGAGAGGAATTGTCTCCAGTCGTTGTGCCTGTTTGGAGGTATTCATGCTCTGTTACCGACCAGGACCAGGGGGGGGGCCGGGACGGGCATTCAGCCGCCGCCTGTCGACCCGTCGTCCATAGCTTTTGCGGGAAGGGTTCAATGGCATGCGCCATTATCAAAACTTTTTGATGAACACACCGAAGAACAACGGAAGGGAACCGTTAGATTGAAATTCCATGTTGAAATGCCGGAAGTCCCCATCCACTACCGACACTAAACAACACCACCAAGGGGGAAAATCCGCAGCGCTAACGATGCTAACGACGCTAACCATAGCTGCCCCTAGGACGTTCACATTATGCAGCTATGCTATCTCACCGATTGCACCTGTCATGCCATCAGGCCATTGTTTTCATTCCTTCCATTTTCATTCCATACATGGTCCACTTTCTTCCTGCGCAAGGAGATAAGATCAGGTAGGTATTCAGGGGGGGAACAAGCCCAATCACAGTAATGTACACGACCGGCGGACGGGCATAAGAAAACGGTCAACATTATCACTGACCGAAACCACACACAGCACCATGGCAACCAGCAACCAGCACCCTGAGTGACTGACACAGAGGACTGACTTACTCCACCAGATTCACGGCTCCACGAACTCCAACCCTCATGACTCCACGGACTCCACGACTAACTGAACTCCAATCTCCACTTGTAGGTTCCCATTCAGGGGCTTCCCATGAACTCCCAGGGACTTACAAGGAGCCACGACAAAGTCTACAAACTCCGCGAATTTTATCAAGCATCAAGCCTGTACTGCATAGTACTACAGGGTCAACTACCTAGTGTAAGAGCGATGCTAACATCGAGTTATGAGGTATGGTGGGTTCATGGTCGTGTTTGATAATGTTACCTAGTGCTGGGTAGGCACCGTAACTTCCAGTTCACCTCCCAGTCCCAGTTCCAGAGTCCAGAGACCTTCTTCAAAGTTCAAAGTCCAAAGACGACTGCGCATACCTACCCTCGAGGATGAAAACCTAACCTACCTACCTACACAGAGGTTCACTCAGTAGGTGTCTTGCTGCGTCGCCCAAATTGAAACACTTCAGTGCTCACTTACCTCTATCATTCGTTTAATTCCCCCCCCCCCCCCCTTCCGGTACGTTCAGTCCAGTTAATCCGTGTCTTCACTCCCCAAGCCCTTCGAAACCCCTCCTCCAAGCCCCCAAACGGACGGGAAGAAACATCGCCATTCCAGCTCTCTTGAGGTAGTACCAATGCCACCTCTACCTATCATCCCATTCGCACCGCCCGGCACTGCCCGCTCCCCCAGACGCCCGACCCCGCGCAGTGCAACATCAACTCCCCCGCAGTTTCACATTCTATGGTAGTCATATAGCAGGAGCCTGGCGTTATTCTCGTCGAGGCGGAGGCACCGTTGTACCAAACCCATAGTCCCGATCGTCACACGAGGTTGAACGGGCAGGTAGGTACAGCCTGCCTACCTAGACGTAGTGTATGTAGGGTGTGTTACATTGACCCAGACAATTAATTACCTCTGGTAGCCACTGCGTGTAGCCGTTATGTAGAGGTAGGATCCAGTGGCCGATAACGGTTATATACGGTAGGTAGGTGGTGTTTCGTAACCTGGACCTGGACTGGACCTGGTCTATAATCCGGGATATAAGCCGATTACCTACCGTGAAGGCTACCCAAAAAAAAAAAAAAAGTTCAGCGACCAGCGACCAGGCAGTGACCCGTGGCCGCTGTGGGATTGACGGAAAGGACCTACCTAGGAAAGGCGAGTCGGATAGGTACCTACCTCTACCTACCTGCCAGTCTACCATACTTAAATCCCGGTTTCACTCGCTCTCACGGCCACACTGTGATGGGAACACATGGACATGGACTCACAGGAGCACACCGACACGGGGCAGGGTCATAGGTGGGTAGGTGGGTAGGTAGGTAGGTAGGTAGGTAGGTAGGTAGGTAGGTACCTCTAACCTTTTTTCAATTCTCACGTCAGCACCATGCCTAGAGGTGTATCTACCTAGGTAGGTAATTAGTATCGATTCCTTACGACTTTCACCTCTTGTTGGCAAGATGACCCGCTCTCTCTCTCTCTACCTCTAGCCTCTTATGAGTTCCATATAATAGATGGTCTTGTGTACCTACCTAGGCTACATCGATGCCTGTACATGTACCTGGCGGCACAAATCAAAGTACCTACCTACCTCTAGGTAACGGGAGTATGTATGTGAACAACTGGGTGGGGCACGGCCATTCTCTAGTGTATGTGCCCTAGTAAGGGAAGGAACTCAAGGTCAAGTCGAGTGTGTGGGGACTTTGGGAGGGGGAAAGTGCCAATGCCACCGGACGGACATAGCAACTGCAGGGGCGGCACGCAACTTACCTCTTGGTAGTAGTACCTCTTTTAGAATCGGTGTTGCCAAGTCCACCTGTAAGTGACTGCTATTCGGTCCTTAATATATACCTAGTAGGTACTTTACTCTTACCACTAGAGGACTAGTTAATAATATATAGGAATTTGTAGAGAGGGGTGAAAGAGCTGTATACCCAGGTAGGGACACTATTCTAAGGGATATATCCTAGGGTTTTTCATTTGCGAAATAGTAAGTAACTTGGTCCCGGCTTGCATAGTTGTCTACACGGCATCAACGACCTCGATACCTACCTTACCTACACCAGCGAACTTAGGTACCTATGCTCAGGGATACGAGTTTTTCGTGCCGTGCAGGTACTTGCTGACGGAAGAATGACACGCAGGTAGGTAGGTAGGTAGGTAGGTATGAAGTCCGGCATTGCAGTATACCTGTGGGCGAACTACATGTACCTCCGGGTGTTGTGCAAGAGTACCTCTAATGCACCTGTATCATCAAGTTTCCTACCTCTACCCAGCTACCAGCTAGATGACCCTCCAAGCGGGATGCAACACTCAAAGCCCAACTGGCTGACCTCGAGCACACCTAGCCTATGCATGGTATACTTAAGCGCCGTGCTTGCATTGAATACCTACCACAGACAAGACAAGACAAAACAAGTCCATAACCCAAGTGAAAAGAACCCAACGCCAAGCAAGTTCATGATGTCGTGATTTCGTGTGGTTATGCTAGTACATAGCCCATTATCTGCCATATCCCAAGTCGTTTCTATCCGTCATCACATCATATTCCATGTCCCACGTTCCATGTATGTTTCCAATCATTACATCCATCAATCATGACTCCATCCGCTCATTACCGACCCCTCTGTCTTCTCTCTCTCTCTCTTCTTTCCATCACACTAATCCTCCCCACCCCCCTCCCCCTTACCCCCCTCCCCTTTCTCTCCCTTGTCCCCACCACCCATCCCAAAGAAACTCTTCCTCTTACTTGTACCCGGACTCCGACTTTCCCCCCTCCTTCTATCCTCAGCCGCAATACTCATCCCCCTCGCCGCCCCCCTCCTCGTAGTCGACCCAGGCCTCATCGGCATCCCAGGAGCTCCGTTATTCGAGTTCAAGCTCCCATCGCGGTTCAACCCGCTCCCACCTTGGGATTTCGACCGACGGACTTCTTCCAGCGCGGGCCGCGCTTGTTCTTTGGAGATCACCAATCCTTGCGTGATGCTCATGATATCGCCGTCTTCGACGGAGCACATGGATGGCCAGACTACCAGGAGGATATCATCTGGGTCGATCTCTTCTTCTTGTGGAGTATCTGAATTCTGAGGATCTTCGTGGTGGTTATGCAGATGGGAGTGGGAGTGGGAATGCGCGAGGTTATGCCCCTTGCTATCTGAGTCTGGCCCGGGTGTGGATAACGGCGCGCCGGCTCCAATTGTGGATGCGCCGTCATCGCCGTCGCCGCCATCAGTGAGCGTTACCGAGAAGGGACGCTGTTGGTGCGAGTTGGAAGAGACAAATTCCGGTAGGTCCAGAACTTGCCAGTCAAAGTCGTCGTATGGCGGTCCGAAGTAAGGCTCGATTTTCATGCTGGCGAGCTGGATCCGCATCCATTGCTCGCAGGCGAGCTTGCACGCTTGTTCGAGGCCAGAGACAAAGGACTCAAAGGCTAGGGCGGACAAGAGGTGTTGCACCAGCCAGGAGACTTCCCTTACTACCGTCTTTACTCGCCTTGCGCCCTGCTCGATTTGGCGCTCGGGCATGGTGGCTAGCAGGGTTGATCGTAGATGTAGTTCTCGCGCGGGGTTTTCGTCTTCCAAGACGCGGAGGAACTTGACTAGGTTCTCGTCGTCGTCGTCGAGGAGGTAAACGGGCCGGAAAAGGTGGCGGTGTAAAGCGCGGGAGAGGACGGCGAGCACGGCGGAGATGCGCATGCCTTTGGCGGCTGGTGAGTTGGATTGCGGCAAGGGGATTTGGAGTTGAGTGGCGTGTTTGAGGTAGGGCGAGTTGCGGAGGTTGGCCCAGCAGGAGGGATCAGAGAGGATGGGCTCGGGAAGGGAGGGGCGGAAGGTGGATTCGACGAGGGTGACGATGGAGGTCCAGATTTTGTCGAGGATGTCAACGCTGGGCATGGGTTAGCAACTTAATTCCAGGACTTCTTTTGAAGGAGGGAGGAAAATTAAAGGGAAAGGGAAAAAGAGAGACACGGTGGGAAGGAAGGTGAAAAGTCAGAAAAGATAGAAAAACTCACTAAACGTCCTCGCTGTCGGTATGAAGCTTAATCTGATACGACGCCAGAATATCCAGCTTCTCCTCGGCTGTTTGGAGGCTGTCTTCTGTCTCGTCAAGTCGGTTCTGAAGGTCTGCGGACCGGGCAACGGCCGTGTCCGCACGAATGGTCTCGGCTTTGAGTTTGCTGTGCAGGGCCTCGATCTCTGCAGTCTTCTCGGCCAATGTCTGCTTGAGCGAGACGACCTCCTCCTCAGCGGCCTTGAGCGATGTTTTCAGACCCTCAATCTCAGTTGTTTTTTCAGCCTCGGTGATCTTGAGGGACTCGAACTCGGCTTTGGTGGCCGTTAGGGCGTCATCGATTGCCTTGAACTGAGCCTCCAGCGTGGCGACAATCTCTTTGAGGGAGACGATCTCGGCCTCGTTCTTCGTCTTGTCGCTCTCCAAAGTGGTCTTGGATTCCTGCAGCGATGCGAGGTCGGCTTCGGCTTGCGCTTTCCAGGCCTCGAGAAGGGTCTTGGCGTTGGACAGTGCGGCAATCTCCTCGGCGGCGGCTTCGGCAGCTTGGGCAGCAGCTTTCTCAAGCTCCTCCTTTGACTTTTCGAGAGCGGCCTTGGCTGCTTCGAGGTCCGAAATCTGCATCCCCCGTAGAGATTTCATGTCACTCAACTCGGTGCCCATGTCGTCCCTGAGTTTGGCAAGTTCATATGCTTGGTCCTCCCTAAGCTTGGTCAGCTGCTGCTCTTGATCGTCCTTCAATGCGGCCAACTCCTTCTCCTTGTCTTCTTTTAGCGCCGCCAGCTCCCGTTCCTTGTCCTTCTTCAACTCATCCAACTCTTTCTCCTTGTCCTCCTTTAACCTCATCAGCTCACGCTCGGCATTCTCGGCAGCCATGGCGGCCCTCTTGGCACTGTCCTCCAAATCCCCTTGCAATTTGGCGCGCATGGCGTGGAGGTGCAGAACCTCTTGCACTTTGGACTGGATCACGTCTTCGAGCCCTTCCTTTTCCTTGTCGAGGCGCTTCTTCCAGTCGTCCAGTTCGGAGCGGTAGCGATGGTACTCGTCGAGGACCTCACGGTGGGAAATGGACAGCCGCTCGTTCTTTTCTTTGAGAACAATGAACTGACCAAAAACGTCGGCGACCAGCTTGTAGTTGCTGTCGGCTGTCAGGTCGCGCATGGCCCGGACAAGACCATCGACGGCTTGGGTGGGGTCCATGTTCGCCGAGGAAGGGGAGGAAGGGGAAGCCATGGTTGTTGGTGATAGCGGGCTTCCAGCAAGGTTGGTGGTGCTGGTGTTGATGGTGGTGGTACCGGCGGCGGAAGCGGTGATGGTTGGCGGAGCCGTGGTTTCGGTAGTTGTCGACATGGACCGGAGGAAACCACGGAGCGCTTCCTTCTGGGGAGTGTCCAGCTTGGGCAAGTGTTTGTGTATTGTATAATCTATAAAGTGGTGATGTAAAGTTGTTGAGGTGTAGAGTCTAGAAATGTTGAAAAGTCTTGAACATGACCGACGTGGCTCAATTGTGTCGGTGATGACCTCCCAAGTGGATAAGCGGCTGTAGGGCAGTGGGCCGAGTGGCTCTTAGGGACAGGGCCCGGGGGGGTTGGTCGATGCGGAAGCTGAGCATAAATGGACGGCGATTGGCATATTTCCAATTTCTCATGCATCAGGCAGAGGCAGGCGGCAGCAGGAACGGATCGGCGACGCAGGGACAAGTCGCGGTTGTTTCGTTGATGGGCTGATGACGACGGTCTGGAGTCTGGAGATGATGGATTGACGTGTCAAATTCATGACGTTTGGTCAATTAACAAGTTGGGATTTCCCTCTAATTTCCAGTTGGAAGCTTTTCATTGCCTCGGCCAAGGACGGGAGCTGACTGCCGACCTTTCCTCCAGCGGACGGAAGGGGAACAAGAAGCGGAGGAAGACAGAGTGGAAGCCCGGGTTTGGAGGAGTGCAGTGTTTGACGTGGCAGTCTCAATGACCAGAGACACTGAAAGCGCTGAAAATTAAAGGCGTTGTTTCCTGTACAAATCATTGGCCCAGGGGAACAAGTCGCTGTAAACACCCGAGCCCCACATGCCCAACGGAGCGGAAGCCTGCACGTGCAGATTGTAGCCAGGAAACCTATCCATTGGTCGAAAGGGAAACAAAAGTGGATCTACTTCGAAACCGACCCCCGCACAGTTTGGAGGAGACCATCCACATTGCGGCCCGTTCCTCCTCCGTCTTCAGTTGTTCTCCATTTTCTCCATTTTCCACCCATCTTCGACACAATGGACTCCCGGCTTTCCGTGATTCGCGGTCGTCTACCAGCAATACCATGGTCAAATAATTCCCTTCATTCAAAAGGTTGGCATCGCCACGGTACAGCACTTGTGTCCGTGGGTCTGGAATCGCGATAACCTCCCCCCGGCTTATGCAGAAGCGGTATCTGACTGGTCCAGTGTACAACACATCTATTTCACATGTACTTCTACCAATGAAACCGCGATTCTATCTGGCTTGATTGGGGGTTGGGCATGATATTCCCTCCCGCTCATCGCCCAACTCCCAATCTTGCAGAGCAGTCTTTTTTTCCCCGAGCTTCAGTTGAATTTGTGCCATCACCACCACACCAAGTATCTTGTCGAAAATACTTGGAAGAACAGCACAACCCACCAGTATCCGCAATGTCTTTTACCAATTTCCACCGGAGGCGCGACAAAGGCGGCCCTCAGGCCGTACGGAAGCACCACTTCGGATTTCGCAAATCTCTCCATAAGTTCATGGGATGGACTAATCCTGAACCGACTGAACACGCCCCCTGCAACTCGGTTGCCCCCAGCAGCCTATCTGAGGAGTACACGGCCGTCAGTGAAGACATCATCACCACAAGCACGCCCGAGACTCTATGGGACCGCGCATATGACGCTCTTCGATCATCCAACGATGCCGCCCAATCCGGCTTGATTGCCGAATACGAGGGACGAGTTCTTAAAGCAATAGCGCCCGAAATGTCAGGTGAGCATGAACATTCTGTGCCCTGCCAAATCAACATGCTAATATACATGATCTCAATTCTAGGAAGTACGGTTGAGCCAGGGGAAGCGCATTCGGATTCACTCCTGGGCCAGGCACCCACGTTCAAGGCAGTACTCGACCGGGCCATCGAGGACGCATTAACGCAGGCCCAACAGAAAAGCTTGGCAAGATCATCAGTCGACAAGGCTGGCAAGTTGATGCTGGCGCTTCAGAACTTCATCAGCGAGGCTGTCAAGGCCTCCCCCGAGGCTTCCCTGGCGTGGGCTGGCGTGTGCCTTGTTCTGCCCCTCCTCACCCAACCTGCCATTGCCGACGAAGCCCAGAGGAATGGTTTCTCATACGTCACATCCCGCATCGCCTTCTGGACTACGCTTGAGCGTCAGCTTGCCAACACCATGATCTGGACTGAGAGTGTTCAAGATGAATTCATCACTCTTTATCAGCACTTGCTCGAGTTCCAGGTCCGCACTGTTCTCCGATATCACCAGGGTGACTTTGCACGCTTCGTCCAAGATCTTTCTTTCAACGTATGGGACCAACTAATAACCGCTATCAAGGATCAAGAGCGCCTTCTCCATCAGGACCTACAGCAATACCACAATGTCCACCAGTCACTCACTTCCGATCTTCTCAAGCAAAACAGTAATAGATCTTTGGAGTCCAACACCAAAGTTCTCCAAGCTCTGCAGGATGTCCAGGATCTTGTCCGCAAGGGCGCTCAAAACAAGCTCAAGGAACAAGAGAAGAAGTGCCTACGCCTCTTCCGTCTTACAGACAACCAGAGAGATGTCACCTATGAATGGTATAAAAGCCGTGTCGAAGAACGGGTCCAAGGAACTTGTGTCTGGGCTGTCGAGCATAAGAATTTCCAAGACTGGCTGGAGCTCAAATCAGGTCCACTTTTGATCACAGCAGACCCGGGTTGCGGGAAGTCCGTCTTGTCCAAGTACTTGATTGACCAGTATCTGCCACAACGGTGCCCAACTGCAACTGTTTGCTACTTCTTTTTTAAGGATGGGGACCAAAGCACAGTCAAGCAGGCCCTTTGTGCTCTTCTGCATCAGCTTTTTGGCCAAAAGCCAGAATTGATTAAGCATGCTCTCGAAGAACATGATCGCAATGGAGACGGCCTGATCGGAACGACATCCTCATTATGGCGGGTCTTCAAGGACGCAACGCAAGATGAAAGAGCGGGCACCATAATCATAGTGCTTGATGCTCTTGATGAATGCGAGCCCGGCGAGTTCAAACTGTTGGTACACAACCTCATTCAAGCGGGAGAAAGCCATGTCAAGTTTCTTCTTACATCTCGCCCGTATGGGGATGTGATTTCCCCTTTCAAGTATGGCGACATGCTGCAACGATTTCCGCGCGTTCTAATCCCAGGGGAAAAGGAAGACCAATCAGACCAGATTAGCACAGAGATCAACCATGTTATTCAAGTTCGCGTCGAGCAATTCGTACACAAATATGGACTCAAAAATCAACTCAGGGATGCCCTTTGGGCGGAACTCAACAAGACAAAGCATCGAACCTATCTCTGGGTTTATCTTGTCTTTGACCATTTGAACACCCTGGTCACAAGCGATTCTCTGAAGCGGACAGCTCAAGGGTTTAAGGCTGCCATCGCGAAACTTCCTCGGACAGTCGAAGATGCATATGAGCGGATTCTCAATCGGCCCCACGGTGTCCTACGTACAACATTGCGACGAGTGTTGCGTGTCATGCTTGCTGCCCAGCGCCCTCTGACTCTCTCCGAGATGCAGATTGTGGTCAACATGGAGCCTGACATCAAATCTGTCAAAGAACTAGACCTGGAAGATGAGGAAGATTTTTCAAAACGTCTGAGAACAATATGTGGATTATTTGTCTCGATTCACCAGCGCAAAGTACACTTTCTGCATCAAACCGCGAGAGAGTTCTTGCAGGCCGAATCGGAACTGTCCACAGCGCCAGCGTCATGGCGCTCCTCGATCAGGAAAACCCAGGCCCATGGTGAACTTGCTTGGATTTGCGTGCAGTATATTTCCATCTTGGATCCTGACGTTGCTCATCGCGCTTACGACTATTCCCTCCTCGAACGCGAGTATCCTTTTCTGCTTTATTCGAGAGCTTATTGGAGCCACCACCTGCGCAATGGCGACTTGGAGGATGATTCCGGGATTATGAGAACAGCGTTGGGCCTTTGTAAGCCTGGCTCCAAAAACTTTCGCATCTGGGCGCCTACCTTTTATTTTGAGACGACAGGATATTCTGCAGATTGTTTCTGCAGAACTTTCCATGTTGCTGTGGTTTTGGGGTGCACTGGCCTCGTCCGACACCTTCTGCGTGAAATTAGAGCTGAAGAAATCAATACGGGCCACAACGAAAGGGAGACAACACCTTTAGCTCTGGCCGCCAGACACGGACACCGCGATGTTATGCAGCTTTTGATAGCAGCGGGGGCGAGAGTGGATGTTGGTTGGGATGGACGAACTCCACTGTATGAAGCAGTGAATGCTAAGCATTCCGAGTGTGTTGCCATATTACTCAACTACGGGGCCTCTGTTGATTTTTTGGATGCACACTACGGGCGAACCTTGCTACACGTTGCGGCCAGACGCAATAACGCCGAGATTGGGAAGATGTTAGCTGACAGGGGTATTGATGTCAATGCCATCGACTTTGGCGGTAATACCGCCCTGATGGAGTGCTCGCATGTCTCGAAGAACGATGGCACCGAAATCGCCACAGTGCTGATTGAAAAAGGAGCCCGTCTCGACATGGCTAATATATGCGGAGCAACCGCTCTCATGCGAGCGGTCATTACGAGGAGGTGGGCTTTGGCTATGCTCCTCATCGAGAAAGGTGCGGATCCTAACCTACGAGATAGTCAGGGCGAGCTGGCCCTTCACAGTATCTGGTACGCCAAAGAGGATGAGGTTACAGCGTTATCACTAGCAAGGACGCTAGCTGATAAATGCCTTCACTTAGATGCACAAAATCACGACGGAAAAACGCCCCTACATAATGCCGCTGAGAAGGGGCTTGATAAGCTAGTAAGGCTGCTACTTGAAAGCGGCGCCAATACTGAGGTTACAGACAATAAGGGCAAAGATCCTCTCATCCTTGCGATCACGGAATGCAGGTTCCAAACTGTTGAGATACTTCTCAAATTTGGTGCGAAGGGAGAAGGCACTGGGAAAGGCCCTTCAGCCCTGGAAGAGGTCACATTATTACTCACTGAGTTCTATACACGCCGGGCAAATCGTATCTTAAGCGATTATAAACGCTTCAAGCAACGCTATTCACACGTCGAAACCGCACCTATGGACTGGTCTCTCGAAATGACACGCTCGATAAGAAGCTGGGATCCTGAGCGAGCCAAGTGGTGGTTGGCGACATACCAAAAGCTGCGCGGAGCGGTTGCTGATACGAGCATCGACAAGCTATATGAAGCTGGAACGTTGCTACAACGTGCAATGAAGGATATGGATCAGTTGCTAGAGGATGCGAAGCCGATGGTGGAGGCAAATTTACGACACCTACATAGCGATCTTCATGATGATTGCACCGAGGCGTGGTTCCTTGCCCAAGTAGGTGCTTGGGAAAGATGATTCTGTACATTTCGCAATGGCATTTCTTTTGTTTGAATATACTGTTCCCCGTCTCTTTTCCGTGAAGGCCTCAAATTACGCATAACTTGATTAGTTTCATTAAGGATGTAAACCAAAGAAAGTACTTGGTCTTCAACATTTACAGGTATGAAGGTGGAAGTGCGTGGAGTATAGCTCTCGGCTCACACAATGTCAAGCAAGCCTTTGTCCCCCAACTTCTTCCCGTTCTGACTACAATTGTTCTACCCGTGTCTTCGCTGGACACAAATAACTCGACTCCTTGGCGTTTCATTGTTTCTCGACCACGAGTCCACGGGAACAAGCGGCTCATATGAAACAGAGAAGCGGGTAAGACCGCCAAGTCAAAGTAAACAAAGACCACGGCACGTTCCCGCCCCTTTTTCAACATCAGCAGGCATATGTAGACCCGTGTGTCTGGAAGAGGATGAGAATATACCGTGATAAGGGATATAAAGCTCACCATCTCCTATTCAGATTCCTATTCACAACCCTTTTAGTCTCCACTCGAAGCCCAGCATTCCTACATGTCCTGTCCTTCCGCTTTCCAAGCTTGAGAGAACAACAAACCTACAGAGACCAACTACAGCTACACCTAGAGGTAGCCACATCAGCAACCAACCAACCAACTAACCAACCAACCAACCAACTCCACTCAAAAAGAAGCAACAACACAGCACCTCAAATCCCTAGCTATTCACACCATGTTCCCCCTCCTCTCTCTTCTCCCTCTCCTCCTCCTCCCCTTGTGTGTTCAAAGCGACGACTTCTCCCCCACCCTCCCCGTCTCCGCCGTTCCCGACGCCCAGAAATCCGACTGGTGCGACTCCCACTCCTCCACCTGCCGTTCCATCTGCGGCACAGGCATGCCCGGCACCGACCTCTTGGGCGTCCGCATCAATGTCTGCTCATACAAGACGCTGCAATACGAATGTATCTGCAACAAGGACAATCTGCGGCCCAAAATGGAACTGTTTCATTATTCTGTGCCCGGGTTGATGTGCGAGGCGGCGTGGAAGATGTGTCGCAAGACGAATAAGGGTGACGAAAAAATGGTGGGGGAGTGTGATGACAAGATTCGAAAAAAGTGTGGGCATATGATCACCAAGGATCAGGAGACCAAGAGTGATAGGTTGTATAGGTTTTTTAAACCTATCAAGGGGGGTGGTGGGAAGGCGGGTGGGAAGAGGAGGAGGGGGATTGATTCTGAGAGGGGGGAGTATTGAAGAGGGGGGCTGGAAGCTGAGAGGGGGAAGTATTGAAGAGGGGGGCTGGGGATGGGAGGTAGGTAGGTAGGTACCTAGTACCTGGGTACCTACCTACCTAGGGAAAAGTACCTATCTTGCTGCTCGAGGAAGTTGTGGAGGTTTGATGGTGCTGGGAGGAAGTTTGGGATGGGGAGTTTCTTTGTGTACAACCTTTTTTTAGTATCGTAAGGGGCAGGGAACGTCACTGTGGAGGTGGTAGTTGGGGGGAGAGGAAGGATTGTAAGATAGATGTCGTTTCCTTTTCAACTTGTACGGGATGATCTAATTTGAAAAAAAAAAAAAATAAGAAATAAATTGGAAGGGGGCACAAGTTGGCACTTTAGTAGAGGTATGAAGACTTCCCCAAGTACCTTATGTGTGGAAGTACCTCTAGGATCAGCAGTTCAGCTGGGAAGATATTGGCCGTCCGACAACGCAGTCACACGTAGTTGTTGTCAACAACTTCAGCCTTGTGCTTTCAGAATAGAACGTTGTTACCAATATCTCTATCAAACGGTACTCTATAATGACATGTAGCAACATGAATATTTTGAAAAGGAAATGAAGCCGTGATCCAAGTACCTATATCGTCCAACCCGCAACCCATGCTAACGAAAAAAAACAAAAAAAAAAAAAAAAAAAAAAAAAAGAGAAAATAGAAAAAAGTGCTCAAACCAACGAGCAAGTCCGGCAACCGTACCGACCATATACAAAGAATCGAAACTCCAATCTGGTAGAAATGAAAAAGATAACCTCCCACGACCAACCCCCCAAGTTCCCCCATGCTTCCCTCATCCCACTCACGACGCCATGCCCTTCTTCATGTTATCATACTGACTGTCAGGATACTCCAACAAGTTCTTCTCGCTGTCCAAAGTGCCCAGTCCATCCTTCACAACCGTCATCAAGCTGTCCTTATCCGTCCGATCGCCCGACGCCTCCCAGTACATGGCACCGCCCAACCCCTTCTCCTTGATGTAGCTCACCTTCTGCTTGACCATCTCGGGCGTATCATAGCTGACCATGACCTTGTTCGCCTCATCATAACTCCAGCTGGCGCCCACCTTTTCATCCAAAAACACCTTGGCTCCACTCTTCGGCAACACCTTGTAATCCCAAATACCCTTCTCCCACGACCCCTCTCCGACGCCCGAGTAGGCGGTGCCCGGTCCATCAGTCGACGCGAACGCGCGGCCGTACAGCGGCATGCCGAGAACGATCTTGTTGGAAGGGATACCGAACTTGATGTAGTCCGTGACGGCCCTATCCGTCGAGAAGGGCGTCGTGTCAGGGTTCTTCTCGTCCGGGTACAAGTTAGCCTGGTGACCGGCCTTTTTATCCCAAGCGCCCGCGTAGTCGTAGGCCATGAGGTTCATGAAGTCGAGCGTCTCGCCGATTTCTTTCATCGAGGATTCCAAGACGCCGTACTTGGAGGGTCCCGCCGAGGCAGCCATGGTCAACAGGAAGTGGTACCCGTCGGCGTGCGCGGCCGCGTACTTGTCCATCTGCGAGCGGATTTCCTTAAGCAAAAGCAAAAAGTTTTGGGCTTCGGTTTCGGAGGCGGGGTATTCCCAGTCGATGTCGATGCCGTCGAAACCCCAGTCTTTGACGAGGGTCAGGGCCGAAGTGGCGAACTTGGTGCGGGATTCGGCGGTGGAGGCGGTCAGCGCGAAGCGGCTGGGAGAGGTCTGGGAGTAGGTCCAGCCGCCGATGGAGAGGAGGACGCGGATGTTGCGGTTGGCTTTTTTGAGGAGGTAGAGTTGTTTGACGCAGCCGTAGACGTTGGTGCCGTTGTCGTTCCAGGCTGGGTGGTTGGAGTTGTGTTAGTTTGAGTTGGAGGAGGTGGTGAAAGTGATGGAGAACACGTACAGTCAGTGGGATAGCGCTTATCCGTGTCAGACCAGGTGTCTGAAGAAAAAACAGTTCCATCTTCTTTGAGGTTGGCGAATGAGTATAGGACATGGGTGATTTTGTCGGCTGGAAGGTCGGCTGCCTGGTAGTTGCGGCCGTAGATGCCCCTGGATAGAAAAGTCAGCAAGCTGTTCAGCCCGAAGGTTGAGGATAGACAGGCACATACCAGTTGGTAAAGTACACAACGTTCTTATATCCGCTACTGTCTGCACGATCAGTCACGTTGGTGTCAGTCATGTTGGTGTAGATGGGCGCAGGCGCAGCATCCACAAGGCATGAAGAGAAGGAAAGGACAGCCAGTGCGGCTGCCTTGATGGAGAACATCATAACGAATGAACGAATGAATGAATGAAGATGCCGCAGACTAGTAGTAGTGTATGGCGCAAAAGGAGAGGAGGGAGGGAGTGTTGTTTGCTTGTCTGATGAGCTAGACTACAACATCTCGGAAGGGGAGGACTTGAAGCTCCTTTTATCCTCCCCTTGGCCTCCAACTGGACTCAATGTCGACAGGCACCGGTTGGCCAGGCCCATCCATCTCTTCCAAGTTTCTGTGGTGTTGCCGTCAAGACAACACGCGGAAACTTTCCATGTGAACCCCCTCATCGTCATCCACCATCATCAGGTCGTCGAGCGGTTCCTTGTGCCTGGCAGGAACCGGACCTAGGTAGGAAAGGAAAGGTCCGGTCCGGCCTCGTCGTTGAATGTTGCATCGGGCTAGGTAGGTAGGTAGCTCCATACAACGTACCTGAAAAGGTGATAGGTGCCAGACCTGGCTGGCCAACTAAAACCTTTAGCGGAGTCACCCTCCGCACACTACCTACCCCAAAAAAATCTTGGTTACCTACAAACACGGCAAATTCCAGTTGGAAATAGTGGGGCCCCAAGGCACCTAAACGCGACACTAGTGTCAGACATTGTAAATCCCGTTATTTCCATTTTAAGGTACCCGCTAACCTTTTGTCTTCTCGATGCTGCAAGGTACCCAAGATTCTAGCTCGGAATTCCAACCTATCGGCAGCCAAGTGGGAACCGTTTGACACATTTGACATGATCATTCTGCAGCCGCACAATGCTTTGATCCATGGCAGACACTACATAATACACAACATGCGCCCTATTTTATCACCTTCGATCAAGTGAACTGAAAGGCGTACAATCAATCGGTCACGGTCAGTAGATTGCTTTCTCAAGAGAAGGGAATAAGCTTCTCCGAGAGACTACCTGTATCTAAGCAGTCAGATATTAGCATTCGAATGATAACACAACCAAACACTGTGAATATATCACCAAATTTGAGCAATGTACCTAGGGAAGTACAAAATCCCATAGTGCCGTTAATTCCCAACTTCAACTTCAAGATACCTACCCCTTCCCTCCTCTCCTCTCTCTTCAATCAGATGTAGAGGTAGCAAATATCCATTTCGCAACGTTGCCATGGCCGAAGGTGTGAAGGTATACCTGAGGTGACTGTTCCATCATTCCATCCATATCTCGTCCTGTCCTATCCACCTCACCGGGTTATGTAGAGGTAACCGTGTCCGTCAGGTCGGTGCTCGGCGTCAGGGTTTGAGATCAATGGGACATGGCAGGCCGACAAGGAGCTTGATGTGACCCTGTGGGGGACCGGTTATCTCCATGTCTTCACGTGCGAAAAAAAAAGGATATGCAATTTCCGTGCCATGTGGGATTGAGTGCCTGGAGTGGTCGGCGTCAGGTAGTGATGTTCCATCGAGCGTCCAGAATCGACCGCCGGGGATGGGCACGGGTCGCGAGTATCCGGTAGGTGTCTTGGGGATGATGAAGGTTTAGGTAGGCAGATGAAGGGGTGGGGGAGGATGAGACGGTAGTCCCCTTGATGGGTGGTCTCTTATCTCGGACCTTATGCTTGTTCTGTCTTCTTGGTTGAAGAACCAAGGGGTGGATGAGAGGTAACTAGTCGACTGGAGCGAGACCTTAAACAGAAGAATTGAAGAAAGAGTGTGATGTTAGAGCTCGGTGCGCAGTCACAATGTACATGAAAGGGTTCATGGGGAAGCATCGCATCGCATCGCATCGCATCGCATGGATGGGATGCAAGTGCGATCACCGGACGGATAATCAGGCACCGGATATACCTAACCAGGCACCAGGCACCAGGTACCAAAGTTTTCGGAGGTATTATCTACAGCGGGAGGTGGCAAGATGTCTCTGTCCCGGTCTTTGCCACTTGGGGTTCATTATCGGCACGAACATTCATATTCCCGGTCGTTCATAGATATCTCCGGAGCCCCGGTTGTGGCAAATCCAAGTGCCGTCGGATCAGGTTAGTAGTAGATCTGGGGAAGTCATCTAACATCCGAATCGGGAAGGTCCCGTCGTGCACACAACCGCCGGTAATGGATGTGTACCTACGGGATGCGCTCGGCCAAATACCGAGAAAAGCGGCTGCCATCTTCAACTGTTCTTGGAGATAATGCGTGATATCGAATTTGACAATCTCCGGTGCATGCACAAAAGACCATCACTTGTCCATCATCAACTGAAGTGTCAGTAGTCTCGTGCACATGGGGAGACGTTGTTCGGTTGTTGATAAAGGGTTGTTGATAAAGGGAATAAATACCACCCTACCATTGACACGGCCAGGTACACCACCAATTATCGATGGTCGTTACATCTCCTGGGGGACAACTGAACATGCAACGTTACCCGGATATTGCGATTTGTCTGGACTCTGGATGCAGGTATCATTGCAGTGCCGGTTGATGTTTGTCCCGGGATATTCGAATTGAAACGTGGGCAACCCGATGCTGAGTACGACATCTGAAATTGATGTTGAATGAGCAAGCAAGAACAAAACAGCGTTTCCTGCCTATTCGCGAAGATATACATAGGTAGAACCTAGCAAGGAGTCAGATAAGAAAAAAGAAAACGGACTGAGGGAACATCAAACCCATTCGCTTCACTACGCCAGACTTACCCAGGTCCCCAACAGCTCATAGAACTCCATCCATCAACCACCCCCTGATTATCTTCATAACCTCCTCCCTCTTCTCCATCCCATCGCTAACCAATTCCTCATCTCCAAACCGCCCAACCCCATCTTGATCATACCCATGAATAGCATCCGGCACCAACAACCACATATACCTCCTCTTCACTTGCCCCTCCTCCACTGCCACCTGCCAATGAAACCTCTCATCCTCCAACTCCAACTTCCCCTTCTCCTCACCCACCTCTTCCCTCCCCAACCTGTCCTCCACCCCCGGCACCTTTTTTCCTCCCAACTTGCACGCCAACCTCCACGCCTCACCCCCCAACATATCCAGCTCGCAGGCAATAACAAAGACATTCGCAGGAAACTTTTCCCTCCCCTTTGTCACCTTCCCTTCTGCTGTATCTTCCACCGTAACAGCATAAACCGGACTCAACAACGGATCCCCCATCTTTTGTCCGGGCTCGACATAGCTCCAATCAAACATGCCCGACAAGCCCATCAAGAAATCCGTCTTCTTTCCCCTAAACCCGCCCAAAGCCGGTTTATACCTTCTCGATTTTGTCGCTTTGACCTCTGAGGGAGTGACAAAGTCCAGAACGGGGTACATGGGCACAACAGCCTTGACTAGCGGGCGAATTGTCGGTAGTTGCGAGACGGCCAACGCCAGATTCCCGCCGGCGCTCCACCCCGCAATGGCGACGCGGTTGACGTCGATGGGCAGGTCGTCGCCGTGGTTTGATGAGTCTGGCTTGAGGAGGTCCAAAATGACGGCTTCGAGATCGTGGATTGCTGTGGGGAATGGGTAGGAAGGGGCTTTGCGGTAGTCGAGGGCGATGACGCAAAAGGGAGTTCCGCCTTCTTCGGCAAGTTGGACGAAGCGCCGGTTCCAGCCGTCGTTGTCGTAGGGTGAGCCGAGGACGAAGCCACCGCCGTGGATGGTGAGTAAGGTGGGTAGCTTCTTGTCAGATGGGTCCTCGCCCGAGTGTGATTTGGGGAGGAATACCCTGTTTGATGTGTCAGTTGATCCCTGCGATACTTCCTACATGGTTAGGTAAGAATTAATGAGGGGCATACCGAACGGGCAACTGCGGTCTTGAAGGAAACGCCTTGATGATATCCGGGTTGGTCGGGGATGAGCCCAAGTAGTCGGTTTTGATGGCCGTGATCAAGTTAAGCGGGGTCTTGATGAGCTTGGTGATGCCGTAAGCCAATGCGCCGTACTTGAGCTTCTGGGTGAGTGGGAGGGATGGGGCGACATGGATCTCCTCGGAGCCAGCTGGGCCAGCAGTGTCGACGACGGCGGCGGGTATAGCAGCCATGGCGGGCGATTAGAGGTATCTACAGGTAGGTATTGATGATGACAATAAGCTTGTAAGGTAGAAGGAGGCTTGGTGTTGTTCGCTGTTGCCAGATGCCCGCTCTCCGCTGTCCAAGGACAGACAGACAGACAGACAGACTGGCTGTGGTGTAGATCGATGCTCGGCAATGCGGATGCCAATGCTGGCTGGCGGGAAATATGAAAGTCCGCTCATTGGTTGGACAGGTCGGAGGGGGGACAAAAGCCCCGAGGGTTAGGGGACATGGCAAAAGCCCGAAAAGTCGGGATCGATCTCCGCAAGCTGAATCCACCTGTCCTGTCGAGGCGGGGGAAGGGGGGCCGGGCATGGCATGGGTGGTCCGATCGGGAGCCACGGCAGCACCGCCGATACTTACCAAGGCAGGACGGACCGTTCCATTCCAGGGGGCATAAGGTACCTTACCTACCCCGCACACAGCCTAAGAGCATCGCAGCGGAGTTGAAACACCCGCATGTTAGGTAGCCAAGGCAGGCACTGGCAGGTACAAAAGGTTTAGTGGGAAATTGTTAGACATATGACATCGTCCATCGGACAATACCTTAGCTAAAACACCATCCCGTCATCATTGCGGTAACTCGAAACACCTCGCCAATCAATCCGGACCTCATCTATGGCTCCGGAAAACAATAGAAGAGGAAGAAAAAAAAAAAAAGGAAAGAGAAGTAAGGACCTTGCATACCTACAAAAGGAAACCAAGGAACTCACTCACCTTGCACAATGAATGCTTCGCTTAGGTACCTAGTGTACTGTATTGGACGTTGGCCATGTTGGTCGATGACGGGTGGAGGCATCGATACCTATTAAACGAGTCGTGTTGCTGTCGGTCTTTCTGAAGACAAGGAATGAAGGAATTGTATGATGGGGAGTCAACAAAAACTTGGGTACCTATAGATAAGTTTTCTCATCCGCCACATGCCTCATCTCCCAAATTGTCCTTCTCCGTGACTTCGTCAAGTCCTCGTGAGAAGGTGCAACCAGTCGTATAAACGAAGAAACAACAGGTAAGACGGAGAGTTTATAATCGATCGCTGAAAACAGTTCAAATTCAACAGGCAATATCATAACTGAAGCAAAGCAAGACCGCTGAAACGCCAAAACCAACGCTAAACACAACATACCGACCCAACCGAGTCCCCCAAATCATAACAACAACAACAACAAGGTCATGGTCTCATCAATATAACAGCATTGCCAGCACCCATATTATGCATCATCATCATTGCCCACCCAAAACCTTGGCGACAATCACCAAAAAGAACCGTCGCTTGCTCAAACAAACTCATAGCTCTGCTCACTCCTAGCATCTTCATCCCACTCATCCTCGCTCTTGACCATGTCGTCCTTCTTCGGCACCACCACCTCCTTCTCTTGCAGCACCACTTCGTTCATCACCTCAACAGCATTCCCCTCACTTCGTCCATCAGCCCCCCAAATCTCCAACACTGCCTTCTTCACACTCATCGGCACTCTCTCCAACTCCCACAACCTCTGCACCCTCTCCTTCACCGGCCCTCCATCCCTCGTCACCAGGTTATAAATGACTTCCTTCATCGGGTATTCCATCTCGCACCTGTACAGCATCTCATGCAATCTCGCCGCTATGTCGACAACATCCAACTGCAGATCTTTACCGAGGCTGAACTCCCTTTTCTTGTCCGCAATGTCGCCGCCGAACGCGTGGGTGCCCAGGTACATGATAGTGGAGTGCAAAGACTGTGCTTGTTCACCATGACTGAAGAGTCCCGAGGAGTTGGGGTACGAGGCATCGCGGAATCGTTCACGGACTCGCTCGCGGAAACGGTCAAGCTTCTGTACATCGGGGCGGCCCATGAACTTGGGCCGATCGTCATTGTCATCAGCAACCTTCTTATCCAGTTCCTTAGTGCACCCCAGCAGCTCGACCCTCCAATCCCGGCCCTGGCCCCGCCCGTTGACCTCAGGTCCAATGGTAAGAACGCCCTCCTTTTGACTCCATCGGATCGGGGTGCGCACCAAAGTGGATGGGTCAGGGCGGTCAGCCTTGGCCGCTGGCACGCTACTGCTTGGCTCCTCCACCAGCTCAAAGTAGGCATCTGCGCCAACGACAAGTTGGATGGTGATCGCTTGAGGCCGGCTACTGCCGTGTTTGTCGTATTTCGCAGATTTAGCCGTGTCCAGCGGGATAATGGTTCCCTCCTTGGCAAAGACGGGAATCTCCGACAAAGGACGGTGAATGTCCACGTAGCGGCCTCCATCGTAGACAAGACTGGGGTGGCGAATGTCAATGTATCGACGGCCCGTGTTGGGAAGCCAGGCGCGGACGCTGCCCATGAGCGTGGCTGAATCGTTTGGCGTAGTAATTGGCGCAACCATCAGGTCGGGACCAAAGTAGTATTGGTTGGGCACCGTGTAGGCCTCTTCGTCCTTGTGGTTCCAGTACATGGGTTGCACCAGGGGCTCGAATTCGTAGCAGGCGCGCACGTTCATGGTGTAGAGGAACGGGATGAGGCGGTAGCGAAGTTGGAGGTAGTTGGTCATCACCTTGCGGGCTTCGGGCTCGTACAGCCATGGCTCCTTGGAGTTCCACTGACTCTTTTCCGAGTGCAGTCTCAAGATGGGCGAGAAGCAGCCAAACTGGACCCAGCGCGCCGTCAGCTCGTTGGAGCGGACACCAGCGTAATGCCCGCCAATGTCGTGACTCCACCAGCCATAGCCAATGTTGGACGCTGTCGCGGTGAATTCGGGCTGGAAGTGCAACGAGGCCCAGGTGATGAGGGTGTCGCCAGAGAAGCCAATGGGATAGCGATGGGAGCCGGCGCCGGCGTATCGAGAAAAAGTGATGGGCGTCGTAGTAGCTTTGACGTTGCGACGGCTGGTGAGGTAATGATAGTGGTTGAGCACCCAGAGGGGGTCAACGCCAGGAATGCGCGATCGGTTGCCCTGTTGCCAGTCAATCCACCAAAAATCGATGCCCTCATCCTCCAAATTGGCCTTGAGAATATCAAAGTAAACGTCGAGGAACTTTTTGTCGGTGCAATCAAAGCGAATCGGCTCTTCCTTTGACGTGTCCTGACCCAGGGCCTTGGCCACAATCTTGTATTGGTCTTCAAAGGCCCGAATGCCGTCTGCGGGATGATCATTGACAGTCACCTTGAGGCCCATGTCATGGAGATTGCAGAGGAAGTTTTCAGGCATCGGGAACAGGTCGGGATTCCAGCTGTAACCTGTCCATCCGGAACCGTACTTGGCAGGGATGTTGACCTTGTGCCAGTCCATGTCGATCACGGCAACATTGAGGGGGATTTTTTCGGTTGCGAACCTCCTCATGACAGCCAGGTATTCTTTGTCCGAGTAGGCATGGTATCTGGACCACCAGTTTCCGAGAGCCCATCGAGGCAGCAACGGCTGACCGCCCGACAGACGGTAAAAGTCCTTGATGGCAGCTTTGTGGTCGCCGTGGTAGGCAAAGAGATAGCCATCCTTGCGGCCCGGTTTCCTGGTCGCGATCCAACCATCTTCGAACAGCATGGAGGCGCTGTCATCGAGCACGGCGTATGCTTTGCGTGACAAGATTCCCGGCTCGAGAGGAATGCGCCCGTCGGCCCGGTCCAGAGTTCTGGCTGTGCCGCCCAGATCGCCGTAGCTCTTGCCGTCGTAGCGCCACACATCGGTGCCAACCTTGACCGTCAAGCCGGAAGACGAGAATTCGTTCTTGTCGTAGGTGAGATGGAAGTATTTGGTCATGATCTCCAGTTTATCTTTGTTGTCGTCGACCTTGAACTCGGGGGTAGGGAACGACCTGAAGAATGCCGTTGTGGAAGCACGGTCTTCGAAGCCGCCATCTTGGGACCACTCAAATCGGACAAGCTTATCGGTGAGAAGGCTGAAACGGTAGTGGCCCTTTTGCCCTTGTCCTGTGACAACCGATTTCGGATTCGCAACAGGGTCGGCCGTGAAGGAATATCGACTGGGGACATGGTCTTGGGGCTTATCGGTCTTGTTTGCGAATGAATATCGGCTGGGCAGGTCCTTGGGGGGCTCAATGGTAGCGTTTTTGGGGAGAGGCTCGGGTGTCTGTTGGGAAATTGGGCCTTGAGCGACATGGCCTTGGGGGTTTGGTTGAGAATGAAGGCGCTCGCCGAGGAACCTGCTTGTCATGGCAAGAAGTTTATTGTCAAGGTCCCCATGATTGCTGAGACGGTTTCTGATTTCTTGATTGCGAGCAATGCTAGATACGGCTAAGCGGCGTGCTTCAATCAGTTCGTCCTGGAAATCTTTGAAGGATCTTGGGGGGCTGCTCCGGGGCAAAGGGAACGGTAGCGGATCTGGCTGGACCGTTCCCGCTCGGGAAGATTCGGCGAGGGACTCGAGTATGCCGGCCCTTGTGCGTTCGAGGTGGAATTGCGAGCGTTCGATATGGACTCGCGAGCGCTCGAGGGATTCTCCAAGTTCTTCCATTCTTTTTTGTGTTTCCCCCAACTGAGTCGACAGTGACAACGGGGCTTGTACCGGGGCTTTGGTTGTGGAATCTGACTGGCGTTTGGGCTCGGATGATGCCCATGCGAAGGAGTGACCATTATGGCGGAAAGCCTTGGTAGGGGTGTCGGGTTTTGACTGCGCAGGGGCTTCCGTTTGGCATTTTGGTTGCCGTGTTGTCACGGATGGTACCGCCCACGCATACGAATGACCATTGTGCGAGAAGCTGTGCTCGGGGGTGGGTTGACTGAAAGTGGCCCCACAGTCTGGCTGACGTTTTGAGACGGGCGGCGGCGCCCAAGCGAATATGTGGCCATTGTGCGAGACAAACGTGTTTGCGCCTGGTTTTGACTCGGTTGTTTGCGAATATGCGTTTATCGACTGCGGCTGTTGTTGATTGATAGCTGGAGCGGTAACAACAGCAGTTTCGGCGGATGGACGGGGAGCCGCGATGGCGTCGACGGTGTCTTTTTTGGGGGCGTTTGGTGTGCTTTTTGGGGCGACATCCTTCGTCGGATCATGTAGAATGGCAGCTACCACAAGTCGACTGGGAATTCGAGCCGGTGGAGGTTTGGTAACTGGAGGCGCCCAGGCAAAGAAGTTGCCATTGTGCCAGAAGCCATCTTGGGCCGCGGGAGGGTTCT